TTTCCTAAATCCGGTTTGGTTTTCCTGAAGTGTCACCAATACACTGTAGATAGTTACAGAAGTACTCCAGTGATTTAGAATTGCACATACATAAAAATTGGGGGACTTGCTAGAGCCATATGAAAAACAATAATGGTCAAAAACCCAAAGTAACGGAGGCTGAGATTACACCCACTGAATATTGATCACACACCCCGTGGTTGTCCCACGATAAGCTGTTCTCAATAGATTCTTTGTTGAACTGATTGCTGCTGTGTGAACAGGTGCCGGCTTGCCCAGGATGGAACAAACAATGCGGAAGAATACCGAAAGTTGTTAATTCGAGTGACATTTTGACTGAAACAGGGAGAAACAGGATGGGTACGTGATTCTCTGACTACGTACCAAAGTATCCCCTTGAAAAAACATGACTCTTACCATGTGATTCACAAACCACAAGTGTAAGTGTGTGCGCGCGTGTGTGTGTGTGTGTACACATGCCTGTGGCCAGTTTCGTGTGAACACGAGGCGGACGTCTACTCATGTTTATATAAAGCCGGTGGTTTGTATCACCACAGATGATGATTGGGTTACAGTGGATGTTTGTGTTTCTGCTTTGCTGAAAGCTTAGCAAGGCTCCACTACTGTCATCTGAGATACAAAAGAACTACACACCTTTAAGGTCTCGTTTACACCCGACGCCGTTTCTAAGTCTGCACAGCGGAGATTTAAAAAAAAAAAAGACAAATGAGACTACAGACGGGCAGGAAGTCAGATCGAGTGGACTTTCGTTTGAGGTGATTCATTTCCTGTTAAATTCGCCACTCCAAAGCGTACTTACATGCAGTCACCGGGTCTGTACATTTCAGTCTTTTGAGTGTTGGAGCCCCTACCCTGTACAGGTACGTCCTACATGAGATAAAATGTCCGCACAAGCTGAGACACTGAGTCAAAGCGGCAGCATCTCGTGTATCAGGTGACTATACATGCTGCTAAGTGCAGGGAGGCCGGCCAAGACACAAGAGGAGACTAAACCGAACAGACAGGCCGGCTACGCCCACAACCTCAGATCTATAACTCACCATTAACACAGAGGGATCCCCTGCTGCTGTCTGTCAATACCCCCCAAAATCAACTTCAGGAAATCGAGCTGGTAGAGAAAAAATATTTCACAATTCATCCTGAGGGGGGACAAGAATGTGAAGAGCAAATTTCAGGAAGTCCAATAGTTGTCGAGACATTTCACTCAAAACCATAAATGTCGACCTCGCGGTGGCGCTAGATGCAAGAATCAGAGCATCACCAAAGCCAGTCGGCTTCACCATCTGGGAACCATGGATGTGTGTCCCAAATCAAATTTCAGCAATCCCTCCAATAGTTAAGATATTTCAGTCTGGAGTGGGTGGCCTGACACACATTGCCATCCACAGATCAATGCCGCTGATATGGCTGAACAGACAATAATAGTTTCCAAGATGAAAGTCAGACGCAATACATACACCCGTTCACCCCGCCACCCTGGCTTTTTAGGACAAAGTATTTACATGGATGGTAAACCACGTGCTGCAGAATCATGTTATATGAACAGAATTTCGAGTAATAAGAGGTATAAACTATGTTGTACTGCATGTCCTACATCATGTGTAAGTAATGTGTATAAGTGGATCATTCACGCACTTTCATTCATGCGTCCCTGACTCGGCTTTAACGACCGTCTTTGTGAGGAAGCTAATCGATAGAAATGCTTTCTAATGGTCTCCATCATCAATAATACAGTGAGGCGGCGAGTTCAGCGTCTCGGGGAACTTGTATCTGTTTACCATCCCTCTGTACTTTATCGCATCATACGACTTGGTAACTGTACACACCTGACTCGCAATGCTATGTAAATAAAAACACCAAAAAAAAACGGACCCATACAGCTCATATGGTGCCAGCTTCTATGTAACGTAGACTGTGTGTCTCATCAGCCCAGACACAAACACACACTCAAAGGATGTAAAAGCTAAACTTTACAGTCCACTTTGATACCTTAAAGACGGTCCTGCCCTACAAAGTGCTGCTCTCTATTCTTTGGTAAAATATTGGCAGGAAATAGACGCTTTTAAATCCGACTGTGTTGTGGACTCTAGACCTCTGAACGGAAGCGAAATGAGAAGGTGGGGCCGGGCCATATGGCCCATTCTATCACAATATAGGTCATTTCATATTTGAATAAGATATATATCACGATATAGCATGTTTTCTGATAATTGAATAAATAAATAGCTTGTATGAAATAACCACATGGTTGTTTTCGTATGCTCCTGTGTGAATTAAATACTTAATAAGAAGAACAGAATATATTCTCATTTAATGAGGAACCTTAGGGCAAAATCATCATAACAAAGCAAACAAACAAACCAGGAGAATTCACTACTCTTCCTGATTAAACGATCAGGATGGATCTGCCTTAATGAGACGTCGGTCGCCAACTAAATGCAAAAAAATGGATTCGATGTGGAACCGGATTTACATCAACAAACCAGCAACTTCTCTGTGTTCTCTCCTCAAGACACAAAAACAGGAAATTCTCACTCTCGCACAAAGCAGACACTCACACATTTCCCTGCTTCAGCATGATTCAAGCCGTCTGACTGATGGAATCATCGGCACTCGCGGCTGAGAGGGGTGATGTCACTGAACACATAATGCAGCCTCGGCATTTATGGCACATTAACGGGCAGGCTGAAAGCTCCTGATGCAGCCCAACAAGTCCCCTCAGTTGGAGTACCTTCACCGAGGACAAAAACACCGCCTCGTACATCACCTCTTAAAACACACTTTCACAGGCAAATCTTTAGTCCTTTACCATTCTGAGAGACAAGACGAGCAATAGTTTATGCTGTAACAGAAAAATTGAAACAGACTACCAAAAGGCCCTCCCGTGCTGCACTGTGGTCCACACATAACGGCATGAAGGGGGAGCAAACAGTTTTGTTTTTTGTTGACTGAGAAAGACGAAGAGAAAACAATGACGCAGCTAACAGTGCTGACAGAGATAACAGTGTTGAATTTAAAGTCAACTATAAAAAAAAAACAACTTAAGTATAGGGGGGGTCAGATTACTGCATACCATGTACATATTTTTTCACATTTATAATTTTGAATTAATTAAAAAAGAATTCCATGTTCTGTCGCGTTAGTCCATTCCATTTCCTGATTTTTAGGTTTTGGCAGTGGTTTGGTTTCAGTATCGGTATCGAGATATTTAGGCAGGATATGGTACCGAACACTATCACATGCACTAACAAGCCCGGTTATGTGAACAAAGCACAGAGAAGCTCCCCCACACACCAAGAGAGAGTGACAAATAGTTGTTTGCTGCCATATTACTGCTCTAAAAATGTGATAGAGAACCTACAATTTCTCTTAAATTGTGTTTTGATTTTTTTAATTTTAATTTGAAAACACTTTTTTTGAAGTGATGGATTCAGCATCAGTATTTGTATCTAAACATCTGTCAGAGCGCAGAGCACTGAAAGCGCACTGTGGTTGTTCACACTGTGCTGCCGGCGAGGTGGTGTGAAATCAGAATTACAGAGAAATGAAACTGGGATTACCGCCCACCCGTGAATGCAACAGACACTATGCGTGTCCTTGTGGCTGGTGCGAACTCAGCCAGCATCACATGCTCCTTTCAGCATCCTAAAAAAAAGAAGACTTGTAGCGAGCTGTCCACTTGACTCGGAGAAGCTCTCCTTGCCTTCTGTACGCTCCAAGGACGGACGGCCCGTGTCCAGCACAGCAGCCCCCTCTGCAGCGTTTAACTCGGGAACGACGCCTGGTGTCAGGTGGTGTCTCGCAGTGTGACCTCACAGCGTGACCTCACAGTGTAACACAGCTCAGCAGGAGCTCTGACCTCTGCTGTAAGCCATCTGCCTCAGGTCAGCCTGTGCATGATGGCAAATTAATCTCACTGTGCCTGACCAGCCCACATACAGGTGGACATGGCTGCCGAATAGCCGCACAAAAAAAATCTAAATTTGTCCAAGATATTTCGTTAAAAATACGGAATTTAGGTCAAATTGTGTTTTTAATTTCTTAAATCAACAAAAGCTTAACCCATTAAATGTCTTTTTAGTACAGAAAACTGTTTTTTCGCTCAGTGAATTTATTTTGTTCTCCTATTTTATACACCAAAACGGTCACATGTGTTGCAGTCTTCATTGCACTGTCCAGGAGCCCTCTTTATTTACTGTCCTTGTCAATTAGCATACCTCCGTGCCAGACACCCTTTGAAAAAGAGCCTTTAGTTAAAGTAGATAGCAGCCTCTATTATCAGACAATAATCCCAACAGGGATCGCTGACACACAAGGGATTCTTTGTGTAGCCTACCTCCATGGCAACTCCAAAAGCTGTTCCTCCACCTTGCTCACCTACTTGAGCCCTTATTCTCAGCTACTCCCACAAGTTAGTCTAAAAAATTGGCAAATATAAGTTTTGAAGGTCCTTTCACACCGTAAAACATGAGAAGAAAGACGTTTTAATAAAGCACAAGTGTCTGACACTTTATAAAAAATAAAGGTTCTGAAATACATCCCCAACTAATTCAAGGGTTGGTCAAAAAAGAAACAATGTAAGCAACATGTTTTATCAAGCAGGATGTGAGGTTTGAACTCCCGAGCAGCTCCAGCTACGGCACAACAACAGAGTCCACGGCGGCTGGTCGTGGCATGTGGTGGCGGGTGGAAAAATAACGCACCGTCCACTCCCCAGCTCAGCACCACCTAAATCCGTCATGTCCGCAACAGTTTGTTCTTCTTACACGTTCACGGTCACAAAAATGAGCCATTGACAAGCAACCGCACGGCTGGTATGTAGCCCCTCTATGCTTCCTCGTGTCCAACCTCGCGGAAGAAAAGTTTATTTACATCGAGCCTTTAGCCGCGCGCTTCACTGAGCCAGGCGGCGGATGAAAGACACGCTGGCAACATTGTTTCCCCCTTCTTTGTGAATAAAATGTTGAAGGAAAGCCTACCTTTGTACTGCAGCGAGTGGACGGTTCGTATTTTCACAGTTCCGCCGATGGACTCTCCCGGACCGTAAACCACCTTGTTGTTGGCAAAAGTGATATCAAATTCTTGAAGCTTTCCCATGTTTCCGCTCCGCTCCGCTACTCCGCCGCTCTGCGTCTCTGAAAGCAGCGAGGAGGCGATGCTGCGCTCTCACCTGCTGCCGCGAGCCACCCCCCCCCACCAGAGACCAGTGACGTCACGTTGACAGCCCGTTGAAAGTGATGGGAGAGATGATAACTGATGCGCTGTGGTTTATGCACTGAAAGTCTTATGTAATTCAGTTGCAGGATCACTTCGGGTAAAATTATCATGAATCTAAACTGACAGGATCTTATTTTGTAACATTTTATTGCAGACCTCAAATTAAATCATGAATAAAATCAACACAACAAAAGTAAGAAAGAAAGAAAGAAAATTGTCAATAGTCTGAATGAATTTAATTCTGCAGGCTTGTGATTTTTTTTTTGTGTGACTGTTCCCTCTTTAATTTATCCTATTTTTTATAAAGAGCATGAAAAAGCGACAAAGAGCTCCAATCACCATCAAACAATGTTGGTGAGGCTAAAGAGGTGTGTTGACATTTTATAAAAAATATTTTTCAAACTTTGTAAACAGTATTTCATTTTTTGGATGGGGACAAGAATCATAGAAGAACCCAAATATGATCAGAATCAGAACCGTTTATTGCCAACTAGGTTACACGTACAAGGAATTTGACTTGGTGATGAATATTCTTAGCTTATATCATCCTTGAATATTGGTTATAAAGTTGTAATATCTAACGTGCTGCAGGTGCAGTCTCTGCACAGCACGTTCCAAAATGTTACTTCACACTTTCTAAGAAATGTTGTCTATTAGGTACATTCCCCACAGACCTGTCATTACAGATGCATTTCCAGCCCTCATGAGTATCGTACCCACGGCTAGATTAACCTGCTGCACACATCTCTGTACTATATGCCTATATTTACTATGCTATTATGCTACTACCTGGCTCCATATTCGTGTGGGGTCATTTCATTTAGCACAAAGTGACTTTTAAATATACAACACCTAAGTACTGTAAGGGAAATTCCTCTGATTGTGCACAATGTAATCATGTTAACTTCCCCTATGTTTGATCATGCTGAATCTGGTCATGTAACCTTTGACTGAATGATTCCTGGCCTGATTACCTAAGGAACTAGGAGGTCATCAGATAATGATCAGAAGGCTAATCAACCCTTTTCTCTTTTGAACAAAGACATGCAAGATACAAACTAAAGTACTAACTCATGTCCATTTTGCATTGTTGCATTGTGGGACAAAATATCCGTGAACACCACACAGTAGCCTAATGCATGCTGGCATTTTCAAGTAACACACTAACTGGTGAAAACAGAATATGAATTAGCATTAAAATATGTCTCACAGTACTTCCCATGGCTCATACCCTTCCCATCTCTGCACACACTTCCTGTCTCTGAAAGCGTTTCCTGTCCCTGCCTGCACTTCCTGTCAGCATCGGCAGCTGAAAGTTATGGTAGCTTTGCTGCATGAAGAGCTCACAGAGAAGGACCAAACATGTGCAAGCATTTTCCATCATGGAGGTTTAATATGTTGCATTTAGCAGAAGACAAAAAGAATACATAAAAACACACACGAGACATTAATTCTCTCATCTCTCTTTGTCTTCTCATGTCATCATGTCACCCGACTGCTAATGTGTAACTGCACTGAGACATATGTTTCCATGACGACAGACAAACACCTCGGTTGCCAAGTTACTGCCCGTATCCATGGAAATCCGGTATGCCTTGGCATCTGATCTGGTCCACAGAATTTTTTTGCGTTTTTTGTTTACTGGCGTTGCAAAAGCAGCTTGAATAATGAGTCATTTTGCCACCGCGAGGCTCAAAGCGAGAGGCTTGTATGTCAGGGGGTAACAGGATAAGATGTTTATGCCATATGTCAGATGCACTGAGCATCAGGAGGAGGTTCATCCATGCCAGTGATGACGAGACAGCCTCATTTGTGTCTTTTCTGCCTCAAATGTTGATTTATGTTTATGGTATATTGCTGAATTAAAACCAAATATCACTCATTATTCCTGAAGTGAATTTGTTTAAATGTAGTTATGGTGAGGCAAAGTTAGACGAAACTAAACCAGTGGTTCCACCTGGTGGACAATTGCCATAAGTCATTTACATCTGTAGCGCAACAGTGTATTGGGCTAAATAGTTGTATGAAGTTATTTAGCTGGAATTCAGATAAATAATTATCTTATAGATGCAATAACAAGATGGAAATAGTAACTGTGTGATACTGACACACTCAAATCTTTTGATATTTTATAATAAATATCTGAAAATCAATATATACTGTAATTATATGTGTGCAGCCCAAATGGTGCTTTAAGAAGCACTTTCAGAATAATATAGAGTGTGAATATGATGACCAAACTACAACTGCTCTCAGATGCTTTTTGTCTGCTGATCAATGCACTTTATTTCCCATGTTCTTTGAGCGGATCTAATACTGTACACTCTTCCTTTAATCTTATACTTGAATGTGTTCTTTTAACTGTTTTATTATTTCCTATGGCTCTGTTAACTGCTGACTTCCAAAGCCAAAGCTTTGAACAGAACAGTGCTATATAAATAAACTCACACTTTATTTTCTAACCTGATATTTTGCAAACAAACAAGACGGACACACTTATAGAACCGCTGTGTCTTTATTTCACTAACACACGTGAGACAAGTTTTAAGCGACAATGACTCACATTAATGCAGCATAATATGCATGTAGGCTCAGAAAAAAAAAGAACGAAGTGTCATTTCTTGTTCTGAGAGAGCTGCTGTACAAAATATTTCTTCAATTTCTCATTCCTACGGAAATTAACATTGCTGTCTGTGCACATGGAAATATATCGAAACTTAGATAAATGACACCGAAACAAAAACAATACAAAACGCCCAGATGAACTGAGAGGCAGATGTGTGATCCTACATTTCTGGAGCACCTTTCTTCTACTTGCTCTCTTCTGAGTCTTCTGAATCAAGCAGGCAGGTGGTTGCGATGGCCTTCGTCACAGCGTACGGGTCGCAGTTTGCTGAAGGCCGACGGTCCTCGAAGTAGCCTCTCTTCTCCTGGCCCACCTGGCGGGGGATGCGGATGCTGGCGCCTCGGTTGGCCACTCCGGCAGAGAAGTCGGTGATGTTGGAGGTCTCATGGGCACCTGTGAGACGCCTAATGTTGTCCTTCCCTCCATTCGGGTCGTACACTTGGATGTGCTCGGGGTGTTTTTTGCTCAGCTTCTCGATGGCCTGCTCGATGTATCTGTCATCGGAGGAAAAAAGGGACAGTTGAGATATGGAAGGTTGTTGTCCGAATATTGTCGGAACTTCATAGACGAGAGGCTTATGCATCAATAAGGGGATGAAAATGCAGAATGACACGACTGAGGATTTTCACAATCGTGGCAAACATAAATTGTAGCTGTGTCTTGTCATCATTTTGTTCCTGTCAATAAAACTCTGCACGATCTGCTTAGTCCTGTTTTTTTCTCTCTTAGAGGGAGAAGAATCAAAGCAACATTGATATTCACTTGGAGTCATGTTGTTGGTCAGCGCCTGAAGAATGTAAATTAAATAGTCATTCTCTTTGAGCTCTGTGTTTGGTCTCCACCACCTCCTGAAGGAATTATTATGCTCTTTAGCTGCTAAATGCTCCAATATGTTCACCCACAGGTTGCTTACTTTGTCTGTCTGCCCATTGGTGTTGGAGTATACAGTGGATTTGTAAAGCTTTTTCGTCAAAAATAGCTGCCTGTCGAGACCAAAAACGATGCCCATGAAAGCGAGGAGATTGAACCAAAACGGTAAAATTGGGTTCCATTAAACCGAAAACGGTGAGCTGAAAGTTGCTCCGTACAGCTGAGGGGAACTGTAGAGTCTGGTGATAGTTCTCTTTGGGTTTGACATGAGGAGCGAAACCTTTCACATACATATGATCTATTGTTGATGTGAAAATGTTGAGCCGCTTTGACTTTATGGAAAATCAATTTACTTAAGCCCCAGAAAACACTTTGACTCATAGCCTATATTCTAATTGATTAGTAGTTTGACTTTTTGAGTATGTAAAAAAATGTGATATCGTCCTAAGCTTTGTCTTGAAAGAATGTTAAAGACAGTAATTATATGAAGAATAAAGCCATCGTGTGAAAATGCAGAGAAATATCAAAAGTGTGTGTGTGTCAAATGTCAAATGTTAATCTGGAGAAAAATGTTGTTGGCGAGTGTCTTATGTTTTTGAAATTGCAAAAACCGATGATGGTCAAAATAAGGACACAAAAAGTAAAGTGCATGTACATTACAATTACTTTTAAGAGGATTTTATGGAATGATTAAGACAAAATCAAAAAAGGTATGTTATTGAACCATTTCAAATAAAAAAAAGAATCAGTTAATTAATTCATTTGTGATCATACAAACACAGTTAAAGCCATGTTTTTGTAACTGTGACACTATTTACCCAAACGTTGATCTTTCTAGATCAACTTTGGTCTGAAAACGGTGCTCAAATAATTTATCGAAATCCTTTAAAACCTCCATCTGCAAAAGTAAAAATGTGTTCACTGTAAATGTACGGTGGGCTTTCTATTTCTTCACTTTTGGAAGACAAAATACTCAAATATGAGCAGGATTAAAGTTATCAGACAATTTTTTGAGGAGGATTGTTGTTAATATGTCAATGGTTGGGATACAGTAATTCCATTCTAATTTATTCAGGGTGTTACTATTTTACTAAGTTAATTGATGCATGAGTTACTCGCATTACAATTTTCAAAGGACATTACTCACTGCAGTCCTTCTGCTTCTCTCATCTGCTTGGTGCTGACGTTCGTGTGGCAACCAGCACCGTTCCAGCTGCCCTTCATAGGTTTGGGGTCCAGTGATGCAACGACACCAAAGTCTTCACTCACGCGATGCAGCAGGAAGCGTGCGACCCACAGTTGGTCGCCCATCTCAATACCCTCGCAGGTTCCCACCTGGAACTCCCACTGAAGTTAGGAGAAGTAAAGGCAGAGAATAAAGAACTTGTGTCCAACAAAAATAAACAGAGAACAATAACTGGAGTTGCAGGCATACAAAGCAACTGCTCATCTGCAGAATAACGGTAACACTTACCTGAGATGGCATAACTTCAGCATTAGTGCCAAAGATATTAATCCCTGCATAGAGGCAGGCCTTGTAGTGGCACTCCACAATGTCCCGTCCATAAGCGCAGTTGGCCCCCACCCCGCAGTAGAAGGGTCCTTAAAGTGGGAGACATGATAGGAAGCTTGTTAAGACTAAATAAATACAGACCTTAACACAAATAACTTTCGTTATTTGGGGTAATTTACTTGTCCTTGCTCTTCACCAGACCTGATGAGTAATAATCTATTTGTGAGGACAATGAACTTGTGTATGATGGTGTATGAACAGGATCATGGGCTGAAGAGCATCCACATCAAAATTAATTTATCATATTTGAAATATTTAGCCTTTACGTGTAACTGCAGGCCTGACTTATTAGGCTACTGCTCCATTATAGGGCCAGTGTGTGGGATTTGGTGGCATCTAGCGGAGTGCTTGCAGATTGCAACCAACTGAATACTCCTCCACTCACTCCTCCCTTTCCAAGACAGAGTGCATAACCTACGGACTTGCGTTGCTCCTTAAGTTTCACAACAATGTCAGAAAACTACAGTGGCCTTCAGTTAACGTAAAAACATTAAAAGCTCTCTCTAGAGCCAGTGTTTGGTGTGTCTATCAACTATCAACTTGCAGAGTCTTTATAAAGTCTGCCTAATTTGTTCCTATGAATGAAGGGAACAAAGGAAGAGAAAATGATGGATGATTCACCTTGGGGTTCGGGGAATCCATTCACGGGCCAACCGTAAGGTTGTCCGTCTATTCCTAACAGCGTGTACTCCTGCTCCATGCCAAACCATATGCAGTGCTCTTTGACCTCCTTCATCACTTTGCTGCAGCTCGCACGATGGTTCGTTTCTAGACAGATCAGAACAGGAGTGAGCAGTAAGTACAATTGAACTTACTGAACAGGATTTCGGACGGAAATGTGATGAATGTACCTGCAGGTAAGCGGTTGTATTTGAGGACCTCACAGAGGACCAGTTTGTTGGGGTCGAGGGAGAACGGATCCCTGAACATGCTGACTGGGATGAGGTACATGTCGCTGTTGGAGCCTTCGGACTGGTACGTGCTCGAGCCATCAAAGTTCCACTCGGGAATATCTGCCAAGACAAATGAACCCGAAACATCTCAATTAAAACATCTCTTCTAAATATAACTTACCTGTAAAACATGTTGAGCTCGCTGACTATTTCCGCCATGATGTCACCGAGACTAATTTCCTTTATCTTCAATGTGAAAAGTCTCAGCAGTTTAGAATCAAAGGGCGAACAATGACTCCATATAGTTACATATGCAGTTATAGGCCAACCACACCAAAGTAATAAACCACAAAAATAGGGCATTTACCGTCTATGCTTTTTGGCTCGCTGTCCAGGGTTCGGGTCTTGTTGCGGAGAGCCTCACCGGTGCCATCGATCCAGATGTAGGTGACCTGGCACTTCTCTCCCTGCGGCAGGCTCATGTACTGCTGCCGCACGGCCTTGTTGAGGTGGGAGCTATGCGAAACTGAAGCCATGCTCGCCTTTAAACATAGAACCATTATGTGACATGTCAGCTCTGGTGTTTATCTATTCATTCATACTCTGGATTAGTCACTTCTTTAAGGTCGCCAGGCTGGCGACCTTTGCTGTAATTTAACAAGCTAATATGAGCTTTCCTTCCTTCCTTCCCTCCTTCACTATCTGGTTCACTATCATGTTGTCACCCTGGCACAACTAAGCTGGTTTATGTTTGCTTGGGACCTGGAGGGCTTGAAACAATTCCACTCACAGAAAGCGAAACACAAAAACATCTTAGTGACAGCTGATTCACAACCGATTGAACACGGAGAGCAGCCGTACAACTGTGCACTAATATAACTGAGACCAAATCTGCCTCCTGATTTCTTTATCAAGCACAATTACTGTAAGTGTAATTAGAATAGAGTAGAAAAAAACGAAATGTTCGCAACATTTTTACATTTGGTCTCTGACTCTCTGCACCTTTACTTTTACTTCATTGCACAGAACATGTGGGAATTAAATTTGACTCGGTGTCAGTAAAAGGAGAGTAGTTCAAACATATTACACTACTGCTGTACATATTACACTACTACTGTACTATTTACTTAAAAGAACAAATCAACACACAACTGTGGAGTTCCCTATTTACACCTTATCAATCATGATTGATTTCATTTTATCTTACAAAATGTGTGAACAACATATCTAATAACTGATCTAGTTGCGGATAAAGAATCAAATCAAATCATATTTTAACATTATGCTTTTTTAAGGTTCCACATATTTGGAAAAACAATTCAGATACTTGTGTTCTTTTTAATCCTTCCTATTTTTGTTAACTCAAAAACATTACCATATTTAACTGTATACTTCTAAACATTACATATAATATTACATTACATTTACACTCTGGGCTTAAAACAAGTCATGAAACTCTTCCACAGAATCAGGAAGCTTGAGTTGTATCGCAGAGAATAACCAAAAACTGGATATTTGATGAATGAACTTAAAATAATGAGTTGTATTCATCAGATTAGACAACGTTGTTCAACAAAGCATATTAAATACACAGACAAATAATTTAGACTTACTGCGCAACAGGTGACTGAAGTTGTAGTCGAGGGAGAATTTCAAGACAACTCGGTGTCTGACATGCCTAAACCTGCTTACGGTATTTAACTGCACTGCAAATACCAGTGATGACGCGGGCTCACGTTCCCTTTACATAATATGACACTACACTAGGTGTGTGTTTGCATGCGTCTGATTTTTTATTTCCATTATATGCAACATGATGTTTCCATTACACCAAATCAGATCCTTGATGCATTTGACTTTAAGCAAAACGGAAACCTTACTTCCTCTCTTCTGTGGAGAAAAAAATAAAAACTACCCAAGTGATAAAATTAATCCATACTGTGTATTGTCAGCACGTGCAAAACATATTAATTAACCCACTCTGCCCTCTATATAGTACAACAAACAAACAAATCAGACAAATCATTGCACAGGTATAGCTGAGGCGGACACAAACTCCCATGAGAAATAATGAACACCCACCTGCTCCAGAGAGGACATCTGCTGATAGTGTCTGACTGCTGTTTGCTGAGCTGAGCGTCTTGCAGCTCAGTGAACACAATTAGAGGCCAGAAGCTGGTCATATGTTCAGTTTCCGTCAGGTTAGCTGTCCTGAGATCAGAGGGCGGAAATTCAACAACAGCTACAGAAACAGGACCGGTCACATGGGACTGTGTGGCAGTGGGCAGCAAGTTTGTGGGTTACTATCTAGACACAATGTGATGGTGTGTTTGAGTGGTTGATGCGTGCACAGTGCCGGCCAAAGACAGATGAAATATGGTCGAAAGCACTGGAAGAAAAACTAGCAAGTGATCCTTGAGTATTGAACTTTTTATCACAGCTTTTTGTTCAGATCAAGAATGAACCTCAATGCTCAAACGATTATCTTATTTAGACAATGTTTTGGTTCAGCTAACAGTAATACAACTTTTAACACTGATATATTTGAGGAATTTAGTTTGTTACATGACTTTTAAATTTGTAAGTTATTCTTATTTATTTAGATTTTTTTAGATGTGTTTTTCAGCAAGGAAGTAGTGCTGGGCGGTATGACGGTAAATGTGTATCACGGTATTTTTTAAGATTCTGCCGGTTTCACGGTATATCACGGTATTTTTTTTTCCTTGACTGTGTTTTTATATAGGTTTATAGTGGCTTACTCTACTGTCAGAAGTACATAGAATATAAAAACATAACGTCATCGTGTATAAAGGCTTTGCTTACCGTAGGGTTTGCTCGTTTGTTCGTATAATGTTGGGATAGCAGTTTGGCTGAAGTATTGTCGCCCCGGTAAGACGTACCTTGAATCCAATGTTTTAATCATTGCTCTGAGCCCGTCTTTCTCGACTGTCTGTAGCGGGACCATGTCCTTGCATAGATGGGTCGTTATTGCGTTCGTAATGTCGCTCCTCCGCTTGCTTTTCTTGTCATATCCAGTGTCTCGAGCTAATGCCTCTTCAAGCGATGTCTGACCCTTTGGCTTCACCACTTCACTCATGCTAACGTTACTGGTTGACGGCCTTGAATCCGACGGCCCAGCTCTTCTCTTGGGCACAGACTCTATCGGTGCATCTCCGGTCTGTCTTTGTTCATCCTGCATCGCTCTTATCTGTTCGTTAATGTAGCATTACTAGCTAGCGAGCTCTACCAAGCATGCCGTTCGGCGGTGTCATTTTATAAATGTACAATTATTAGTGTTACAAATTGTTTATGTGTTACAAACTGTTGTGTCGTGGTGTTTTGCCCTGTTAAAGAGCGTTAGTTGTGGGTTATTCATTGTTGTGTTATAAAGTCATAACCATGATTAGGGTTCCCTCTCAATAAAAGAAGTAGCTTTGACAGTAGTGCACTTGGCAGCAAACAATATATTCTGCTGCCTGCCTGTTGAAGAGTGACAGCACTCTAATTAAAGCAGTTATTTTGGCTATGCAAGATATGGGGGTGTGTGAAAAATTCACATCATATGGGAAATTAAAACCGGTATACCGATTCCGGTATATACTGCCCAGCACTACAAGGAAGGGTGACAAACTATTGTTATTGTTGGCAATGGCACTTTGGTGATCCTCTGACTTTTTCCTACAGTGCCACCAGTAGGTCACTTATCGAGTGAATAAACCCTAAATCTACTGGATGGATTGGTATTCCTTTTTTTTCACCAAGAAAGTTGGCACACAAACACACGTCCCCTTCAGGATAAACTGTAATAATTCTGGATATCCTCTGACATTTCACACTATGTTTTTTGCTAATCGCTATTTCAATGTTATGCTAACACACTAAACTAAGATGGTAACCATGGTAAACACTACTATCAGCATGTTAGCATTGTCCTTGTGATACAGATTGCTAGCGTGCTGACATTAGCCTTTAGCTCAAAGCACCACTCGCGGAGCTTTTAGCATGACTTTAGGCTCCTGGTCTTGGTTTTCATACATCTTGGAACTATTTTCTTATTGTCTCGCTTTTTTTGTTAATTACCCTTTTCATGTAATATTTATCAATGTGATATTATTGATGTTTTTTGTTGTTTGATTTGATGGTCAAAAAAGCACATGTAAGTAATCCTTTTAATGTATGTGTAGGTCTAATTTTGGATGTGCTGTGGGTGACCCAAGATGAAGTTTTCATTGCAGTTGCATGACCATCTGGCATGTCATCCTTGAATCCAGCTGAAAATATATTTTAGTGTGCGCTTGTTTGCCAATACCTATGGTACAGGTTTCACACATATTACCTAATTAAAGTTTGGCCCGAATAGTTCAATTGGAATTTGAGTAGAAGTTGATTCTGTAAGTGTTCGTACTCCACTGAAAGTTGTCGCTGTTTGAGTTTTGATTGCTCTTGAAGAGATCGATGTCTAAAAGGCCAACAGCTTAAGTTCAAGATCATGAAGGCCTTTCAATTCAGAGCATGAACACCAAGTTCTATTTAAGTTTCTTCTGTACGTGGGTGTTGTACAAGTACACTGAACACAATATAATTCTGAAGATATCAGAGTAGAAGAAAAACAGAATCACAGACACCACGCTTGATTCCCTCCCTTTAATGATAGTGACTAACAATAGTTAACAGCAGCTGGGCTGAGTCATGTAACCTTGAAACCTTCCTTACCACAAAAGAACCACAATCCCAGCGAACAACAAATTTGTTGCACAACATTCTTTGCATGGCGTTGTTTTTCTTCCCGTGCAACATCACAGTTAGTATGGTTAGTTTGCATTAATCATAAAAAACAAATTCATTTCTACTGAATAAAAAGGTATCTGACTCAGCACTTTATGTGCAGAAGTGTGGAGATATCTTCCTCTGAGACCTCTACGTCCGTAACAATACAATGTAGGGGAATGGAATTGTGTTTGTGCTGCTCAAAAGCATAGAACTTTACTTTTGAGGCACATAATCCACAGGTATTGACAGATTTTATTGGGACTATAAGACAGAGAGCTCAAAAAGAATTTGAGCCTCAATGCACAGTGAAAAAAGGTTGAACCATCTGCTGGATTCGGCTCCCAAAAGTCACTTTTGGGGTGTTTGAAAAGACAGCAGAGCCATTTTTGCATAACTCGCCTGCCGCTCTGAGAGCTACTTCCGCAGCTGCTGTTACCTCGGCCTGGTTTGCTGCCATTCAGGTTACTCTTCAACAAGTATCCTTTTCTGGCTCCTCTCTTGATCAGGCTTTCCTCACGATGCGGCCACTCTTCCTCAGGTCCCTCCCTCCTCTGTCGGGCCTGACAGACTGGCTGCTTGTACTCCAGGCTCCCTGACACACCTGGGCGCTGAGGAGGTGGTACAGGTGATTAAAGCTCAAAGCAAATGTCTCATGATTGACAGTCTAAGGAAACACATCATACCATGACGGTTCCCCTGAAGCCATCTCATTGAATGAAATGAAAAGCATTTCAGCGAACACTTAAGCAGGTTCGCTTTTCTAAAGCTTTCTACATATCTATCGCTCAGGACACTTTTTTCCAGTGAAGGGAAATCGAGTACTGATGGGAAATAGAGTACTGATGGGAAATCGAGTACTGACGTATACAATGCTGAGAAAATATTTACATAATAAGCATTTGGAAACGCACCCAGAAAATTCCCACAACCACAAATTGTTTGATGGATTATTCAATAAAAATTACTCAAACATAGGAATGGAGTATTAAACCTTAAAACATTTGGAGTGCTAAATGTTAATTATCCATAACTGTTAAGAAACTTAGCCAAAGGCTTAGTCAGATCTCGTTAACTTTCCTTTCGAACAGATGTCGCCTGATTTAAATGGAATTTATTATATTTAATGGAATTGCTAATTGAGTATTTCAGTTCTTGGACAAAATATTCGAAACTCAAGGTTCACTTACTGTTTTTTCTTTTCCTGGAACAAGTAGAACTTGCTCGGGTGTCATCATGTGAGTTTGGTCACATGATAACAGGTGATCATACATGATGACACTGAGCAAGTCCCATTAAGACATGAGATATGGTCGAAAGCACTGGAAGAAAAACTAGTAAGTGATCCTTTTAGTATTGAGCTTTTCATCACAGCTTTGTGTTCAGACCAAGAATGAACCTCAATGCTCAAACGATTGTCTTATTTAAACAAAGTTCTGTTACAGCTAACAGTAATAACACTGACATATTTGAGGAATTTGGTTTGTTACATAACATGAAACATTTTTTTGTTTGGATTTTTTAAATGTGTTTTTCAGTAAGGAAGGGTGACCAAACTATTGTTATTGTTGGGATTGGTATCTGGTGACACCACACCAAACATTAATGTATTATTAAATCAGTGTCAATTTTTTCAGCTAATCCTTACAGAGCTATCAAGACCTCATCAGTGCCTCCATACTTATCAAAACATATTGGTATATAAACTACTTCCAGATGTTCTACTTCACATTAAAACCAAATCTAAATCGCAGCCACACGTGCGTGCGCGCACACATGTACATGCACACACACACACCTACATCTCACCTTGAACGCAGCAGAGGTCCAGCTGCTCGTCTTCGGGGCTTGGCGCTCTGTCTCCGGTACTGCATCCAGCCGCAGACCAGCTCGTGCGCGATCATCACGTACAGCAGGAAGATGAGCACGGCGGGATCCATTCAGCCGCACGCGCCGCTGGATGAGAGCCGGTCGGTGCAAATAAAAACGGTCCAGATGAGAACAAACAGTGTCTGGGCTGGTGGTCTTGTGCTGGGATGGTGATGAGGAGGAGGAGGAGGAGACGGTCCTCGTGGCCAAGTTGCCCCGTGCCCCCCCACACCAACTTTAGGGACTCAAGGCGCGAGACAGGAACGGCTGCTCCGGCGGGCGCTCGCACTCCACCCGTGTCAACACGCCATCCCCCAAAATCAGCTGTTCATCCGAGAGAAAGCGGCAGTTTTTGAGACGAGAGTCACGGTGACAACAGCAGATATGGGGACATCGGAGGATGTTGCCGTAGAGACGCGACCGTTGCTAAGGACAATATGTCGTCATCTCCTCTTCCTAAAGATGAACGAGGCATTTGACCACAGCGGAGCAATGCAGGGAGCTATACCACGCAGGAGCACGCGCGATTGCCATATAGGTTACCATTCATCCTCTGTACCCTGGATGCGACCACTGATGCTGTGCATTATCGATTCATATTTAACGATGCATTTCACCGACTGATGAATAAAATAGATACTGTGTAAATATAAGATAGATCAATATCTAATATTTATAAAGTATCTAAATGCAGAGTAGTATAATGAAAGAGATTTCAGGGGACATAAGAAAACGTTTGGTATAAATGATTGGTTAAGCAGTTAAAGATTATTTATCAAAATTCTCATACATTTGTTGTTGATTGACATTGACAATATATTTCTGCAATAATTGTGAGCAGACACATTCAAATTATTGCTTTAAAGAACCCATCACTGACAAATAGTGACGAGATTCTGACATAATATTTAGCACATGATGCAGTCATTTAATTCCCCAGAAACCAATTTACACTCAAAGGCATACTGACAATGTTTAAATGCTCAACTTTAATCAATTTATCCTCAGAGGTCAATTACATCCTGTTTCAAAGCGGAGGGCAGTTGTAAGAATACATCCGTCGTACAGATGTTTTCCAAACTGCAGCGTTACATGTCAACTTTCTCTATAACCTTTTAAAAAAAGAAATTCTTTCAAGGTTTAACGTCATTCTTTTCTTTCTCCTTTCTCTTTAAAAGGGCATTCTACAGCTTTCTATAATGTTGGGAGGCTTGTGAGAGACAGATTGAGGCAGAGATATTTTTTACCCCTTAATGCGAGTCAAGCTCCTCTCCCAAAATGCACCTTGATAGTGTCTTTCATCAGACTCTCTTTGCCTGGTAAACTCACGTCTTTTCCAGCTCTATGCTCCAAGTTCATGCTTTCTTACGCATCCAAAATGCATAAGAAAATCTCCATGCAACCATTTCTGCCAACCGAGGGTTATGCCCAGTCTCGATTCAAAGACAGGGAAACTAATATCTGTCCACGACACCGTAGACGTTCTCCTTCTGACTTCCATCAGTCCGTCCACAGGCCTAGAGCTGTGACCCTCGAGGGCTCCATCCGATCTGAGGCAGCTTCAGCGATTAGGCCTTCATCGGTGTTTCAGTATGTGGGCTGCGTTAGTGTGTGTGTGTGTGTGTGTGTGTGTGTGTGTCAGTTAAGGGCGACACAAGCAGTTCTTCTGCTGTGATATCGCCTCATTTTCACAAGGCCACCTTTGGGTGGCAGGACCAGCACTCCTCCTGCCTCACACCTCCATCTCTCTGACATCAGCAGGGACCTGCAGGAACACAAGAGGGAGAGTGGATCCGTCACCATGGTCCGTCCATAAGGTGGCCAAGGAAGGCACCGAAGTTGTTAATAAACAGCACTGTTTCTGTGTAACACTGCGTGTTTGACAGATGAAATAAGGAGCTATATGAGTATTTTAGTTATCATATTCATCTTAAACATTAAAGTGAAATCACAGCTTTGACCAAACATTTTGAACACAAGTATTATGTAGAATGTTTAGGCTCATGGCTGTGAGTTCATATGGGAATACTTTCGGCCCTCTAGTGGTCAAAGTTGTATTGGTGCAGCTTTAAACTGCCGCTAACTGTATTCACAGAGTACATGTGAATAGAGATGGATATATTTTCCACATTAGTCATAAAAAGTTTACAGCGCTCTACACTCACAGTGACATTATTGAACCCAGCTGCCATCGGATGGTTCTGCGCCGGTGGAATAATCACACGATCCTGCTGCAGTGAACACATTATCAATCATTAACCAGACACGGTAGGCAAAAAGATGCTGCTAGCTAGCTAGCTTACCTCCTCATTGTTGTTAAAAATATATTTTTTGAAAATGGTCTGGAGCATTTTGGGTAGATACAGTATGTGGCTGGTATATTAACCATGATTGGTTGGTTATTTTAGAGTGTAAAAGTGTCACTTAGTAAATTAAAAGACTGTTGAATACGCTTGTTAGGATACTTTTTATTTAGCTAGCCAGATCTTTACGCACAATAACGATATGACCATGTCTTTGTTGTAGTTATAATATCATTTAAACTGACTCCTCTTTCGATGCTTACTCTTTCTCCTTCTTATCTGCTCTGTTTTGTTCTCCCTGTGCTTACTCTACATCATATTAGAGTATATAGAAGTTATGCTAGTATGCTAGCATAACTTCTAATCATCCAAAGTCAACGCTGCCTCACTTACCACATGACAATGTTTTTTGACAATGTAAGATAGAAGAGCTATAAATGCTACAAATGACCCTTTAATACTCATGAAACAAATTTGACTGGATGTTTGTCAAATGTTTGGGTGTCAGATTAACTCACTGAGAGGTCTGGTGCATACGATTCATTTCTGAAGCCAGCACCAGCTGAGGAAGATGACGGACCGTTCACAGGCTGGACCATCTGTCTGGTTCGCAGGTAGTAAATCAGCAGGGCGATCAACGTGCCGATCAGCAGCAGGACCACGATGACGGACGCTGCGATCCCTCCGGCGTTGTCCTGCTTTGGTGAGGCTACGGGGAAGGTGGACAACATTTAGCTTCCGGTTCTACGAGATGATTGTGTTGAGGACGACAGGAAGTCAGTCAAAGGGCTGCACTACTGGTGTTTGCATTTTAGGTTAGTTGACAAAACTGCTGGCAATTAGACAAACTCCTTTAGTGCTGAACATTTTTAAAAGCCAATCTCCTAATCCCAAGTGAATATTTTAGTGTAGTTTGTGAAATTACATTACATTAATCTCAAAAAAGAGAAAAGATGCTTTCTACCAGATTTAGCTTTGATCTGCAGTCTTGGTGCAGGTGAAAGGAAACATTACATTTCAAATCTTTGAGCGGATTAAATAAAGAACGAAAGAAGACGCATAAGCATATATCCCAAAATGACCCCAACTATTATTTGAAAAAAATTCCAGTTAATGGTCTGGAAAACATTCAAAACCACTGGCCCTTCTTACTTGCATCTGTGACTTCGTTAGCGCAGTTGACTCCGACGGTGTACTCGATGTCATCCAGAGCCACAACGCCCGATGTGCCTTTGATTCCTTCAAGCACAATCTGTAGACAACAAAGACAAGACGACAGCAGAGAGAGCGGTCCGTCAGTCCTGTGCAACACATTTAGTCAAGTGCAAAACTTGAATGCACCGTTGAGCTGTGGATAAGCTTACATACAGTACGCTACATAGAGAGCACTATATTGGTGTCTAGATTAGACACAGTATATTTATCTTCTGGCAAGTGAGAGTCTGACCTGGTATTCCTTAGTAGACGTGATGTTGACGTCAAAGCGTTTCCACGGCCCTCCCAGTTCACTCACCACCAGCAGCTGATGGAGACTACCTTCAGATAACCTCCACACCCTCAGCTGGCTGTCCGCTGCATGTGTGAGAAATATAAGTTCAAAATATCAAAATGGGAAGTGCATCACACACATCCAGACTACATCCGACAGGCTTTCACGATAACATCCATCCTTACACGAGTATGGCTTGTAGGCCCAGAATTTCAAGCAGGTGCCCTTGGTCGGGGGCAGGTGAGGGCTCAGCAACTGAGCTTTTTCAGAGGGTGCCGTCCGGTTGCTGCTTGGAAAGAACAGGAAGTGACCTGGCGGAGAGGAAAGGGAAGGTAGGTTATTTCACACTTCGGTACATGTCGTCGGATAAAAACAAAAAAACAGACAAACGGACACACGTAACGTTTGTGTTAAAAATGATCAAAGTGTTGTTCTCACTGCTTCCTGACTCTCAGTGCGAAGATCTTTGTTGAAACGCATGACCGTATGTAGGTTTTGCCACAACGTGCACAGTCAAAGTAGCTCTGTCTCTGTCTGGTTTACCTTTCTCTGTGCCCAGACTGTGGTCCTCATTCGGGGTGGGGTAGTGGCTCTCTGCCTCCCGACTCGTCAGCTCCCAGTCCAGTTTGTCCACTTTGACGTTTTGAGTGTTGCTCCAGCTACACATCCCTCTCTCCAGACTGCACTTAGAACCTGAAATATAAAAAAAGAAATTGGTGGATTGCTCCATTTAAAAAGCCCATTATGCATCAACACGACTCCCAAGGAGGAGCAGCGCGCCTGCACAAGCGTGAGACTCTTTTATTTGGAAGTGTTTTAGATAGCGAGGTTTTAGCGAAGATGGATGTGTTTGGGAAGTAGTGAGCATACAACTGGATCAATTAGAGTGGCATCATGCTGCACTAGTTGTGTGAGAGTAAATAGATGTTTTCATATAGTTTTGCTGTTGTTGAATGCGGCCCCCATTTACTTCAATTGATCGAGACATTTTTCTCCGTTTTTGGATTCTTTATTCAACATTGAGACATGCAAGAAAAATAATTCTTCAAGAATTCAAGGTAATACAGGGTGATTAATAAAGGATCATTTTGTGGCTCAAGAGTTCTTTTGATTTGGCTGACGCCGATACAAACCTTGGTCTTCACATGGGCGAGCTGAAATGAAGATGTCATCAACTGCAACGTGAGTGTCTTTGCCTCCGGCTCCGACCACCTCAAACTCCAGCTGCAGAGCAGAACAAAGCATCATCTTAGTTAAAACGTCAAACACGACATCATATAAAAAGGTAACGGACCTTTTATACGATCCCAATTTTCTAAAGCTGCTGGAGAAATGGAACATTTAACATGCTGATCTTCCTTATAAGTGTGCATCCTCACATTGAAGAGAAACTGTAAATGGGACAGGAACGCAAAGCAATGATATCTGATTTTTAGACAGTTTCAATAGTTTGTACTATTGTAAAAGTCTATAATTGTTCCAGTCTCCACAATGTACCTGCCAGTCCACAAGGGCACTGGAGATGTTGCCGTTGCCTTGGCGCCAGACATCTCCCTGGTTCAGACTGTCAGAGAAGCTCTTCACTCTTTCTCCCTTCACCGGCTTCATATACAACGTCAGAGAACCTGCAAAGTACACAGAGTTCTGTTGTGGGGTTTCTTGTCATGTTTGTGTGTGCGCGTGTGTTTCACTGTATGACTGTGTCTCACCAGGATTCACTCCGCCCATGTGATACCAGAAATGGACGCACTCGGTCTTGGCGGTTGCTTGGCGAACAGGGGAGGTGAGGGCTGACGTGGAACCCGACGGAAGGAAGCCCACCCCGGTGTTAACCAACATGTAGAAACCTGAGCCACCAAACAGGTAGAGGAAGATCACAATTCACTGTCACTCAGTTTTCTGCGTGTACATTCAAATATTACTGTCGTTCAATGGGATTCTCGGATTCTCTCTCACCCAGTTTAGTCTCCAGAGTGTGGTCGGTCTCGGGTCCGGTCACCGTGGCGGTGCGTCCGCTGCGGTGAAGCCAGTGAACTTTACCAGAGCTTTTGTATCCACACCGCTGGCCTTCAAAGGAACACATCCTCGGCACGGTGCACGGACGGTCCACGAACGCCACATCGTCAATGGCCACGCGCCCGTCAAAACCAGAGCGGGCTGCTTCAAACATCAGCTGGAGGCGAAAGGTCGGAGAGGGTGAGTTGGAAAGGAAAATATTAATTTTGGCACCATCTTCCCCTTTTTATTGTCAGTTTTTCTTTTTTATGTGACAGATCTGTGACATTGCATTTCAGGCTGACTGCAGTCATTCCATACCCGGAAGGTAGTGAGCTGGTGCGGCACCGGGCAGTGCGCCTCGTGCCACACGTTGCCGTGAGCTGCACTGCGGGTCCAGAGGACGGCCTCATAACCGTTGTTATTCAACAGCTTCACATTCAGAGTACCTGGACGGGACCGGACGGGGAGGACGGGGCAGTAAGTGTGAGAAGATTAAGATATGATTCAATTATCTGATTTGTTCTGGGGCAAGTCGGTAATATTTAATTTCAAACCAACATCTAACACAACGCCAAAACTATACTAAGAGGCAGACTTTTAAGACTAGATCCTGTGTAATAAATTATTAAAAGGGAAAAGCCATCACCTTTTATGTGGAAATCAATGTTGCAATCAATGTTGATGGTAAATGTGGTTGATGGAATTCCTCACTGCGTGCTACATTGACAGATAAAGCTCAGTTCTCCTACTCACAGACTCAGGCTGGCAGAGCCTACATGTACCATGATGCATTGCATGTGAGCTTCTGATGCCTGGAGGGTCCCCACCAGCCTTATCGTCTTGCACGGCTCGTGGAGCTGCAGCCTCAGCCTCTCTGATGAATTCATTGCTTCAATGGACTACATTTACCCTCAACAATGATTGGACATCCATCAAAAGGTGGTGAGTTTTCCCTTTAACTTCAATGTAGGTAAAGGGAAAGGTAAATCATCTGTTTCCCCCTCAGGCTCAGAGAAAGAGATGCTTCTTTAACATTCCAGTCAGTCTTGTCCTCACCTGTGTTCGGCCCGTAGAGTTTGTAGAAGAAGGACAGGCAGTGATCTGAAGGAATTGGTAACTGTGGGAATGAAACTAAGCGTCCGAACGCACCGCGCAGAGAAGGGCTCCACATATCCACCATGAGACTTCTGCCTGGAGGTCAACAGAGAGGCGGGCGGGAAAGGAAGTGAGCTTCAAAGCATCACAAGTACAGCAATGGCACCTTATACACTGCAGTCATACTGTGTTGTCTTATAGTGATTATGAGTGATGCAATGAATGAGCTACATACTAAGTTCAACACATTTACCACAAATAGACAAAGATCTGTTCACTTTAGCTCTATTAAAAACAGCAATTTATTATTCATTTAGATCGCACATTTAAACTGGTTTGGTATTTTCTGTTGAACACAACTACAAGAACTGGAGTTTCTTCAACAGAATTGAGTGCCGTTTTCACAGTGTTGTCACTTTCTGTACCCGGATACAGAGTGACAACCGGTATGAAAATAATATTAATAATAGCTTTTAGCCTCGAAGGCTGTGCTGGGACTAGAATAACATCCCAAATGTCAGTTACAAGAATGTCCCCCTCGTGAACATGGAAGTGATTTGAGGTTTTAGTAGTTTTGAGGGTTAAATGTTCTCACAAAAGAAACTATGAACACTATGAATATGAATACTCTTTGTATCAAACTATTAGCATATATGAGGATAATGAGAAAGAAGAATATTCCTTTTATTATAACTGCTCCAAACCATGATTACACAATATCCTCCTATGTACTCCATATGACACATTTAAAATCTGATGTTTTCTACCAGTGACGTCCAGGAAAGATGGAGGCGTGTCTGAGATACTCCCTCCTAAAAAATACACTGTATATCCGTATTTTTATGATTTTAAAGGAGCTTACCGATCCCGATGGTGTGGTCCATCCCATCCACCACCGCCCAGTCAAAGTTGTCACTGTTGTCCTGATACCATCCACATAGTCCATCCTCGAAGTTACACGACAGCCCTAAACAAAAACGCAATGACACATTTCCGGGTAACATCGTAAAGTCTGCATTATGCAACGTCATGTGTGTGTACTGAAGATGGGTTTGAGTTACCTGTTGGAGAGGATGGGAAATAATCAGCATGACAGCTGACAAAGCGAACGTTTTTCACTTTAATGTTGGCACTTGGAGGAAGTTTCACAGCACGAGCTTCGAAGGCCAGCTGGCAAAGATAAAACAAGGACAACAAAAGAGCCCTGATGAGTGAAATTCACAAATTTTAACTTTAACTTCAAGTAAAGTAGATTTTTAACCAGTTCCACAAGGTGAAACTGTTGTATTTAGATGGATTAGATTTAGATCGAAGGTCAAGGCTTTGTGAATATTCCTCAAACGTCTACAGCTCTAAATGTTTTCAGACAACCTGTCTTTTCTTTTCCTTAAAAGCTTGACCTCCAGTCATTTCTGAGACCAGACATTCATTTCTGCGAGTCAAGTCTCATCTTCAATGCAAACATCTTAAATGAAATAATGACAATTATAGCATCCCTGAGAAAATTAAGCTGACCTGGAAGCGATCTTTTCTGACTCCAATAGGCAGGTTGACATGTTGCCACGCCCCCTCCCCTGTTCCAGTCTTCCCACTGAACTCCCACAGCTTAGGCCGCGTGCCCAGCAAACTGTCGATCACCCTGACGGACAGCTCACCTGCAGCGGAGACACGTAAACAGAGTCATGTCAAAAGATCTTTGACATGACTCAGAGTCGTGTGTCCCGAGGTAAGAAGTGAAAAGAAGACATGTGGGATAATAAGTTAATTTAGTTACCAGCGTGATCTAGACTCCCCGTTAGAGCAAAATCAAAGCGCAGGGTGCAGGCAGGGCCGGAGGGGCCCAGGAGGGGGGTCCGTGTCTGGGCCTCGGTCAGCTGCTGGCCTGGGGCCTCGGATACGTACAGGTACATCTCTAAGCAATATGAAAGAATCAAACATTATGTCATTTGGTGATTTTCATCCACTAAATATGAGTAAACAGTGATGTGAGTTGTACCTTCGGATGTGACATTTGCGTGTAGCAGCCAACCTTGACTCCCAATGCTGGCGTCAGTCCAACCTGAGCTGCCCTCAGTGTAAGAGAAATCCCCTGCAGAAAGGATTCGTGGAGACATGAGATCACACAAAGCTCAGTGCATGAGACAGATATAAAAGAGATATAAAAGCCAGGCTTAAGGATATTAATACAAAAAAGAATAAATGACGGTTAATCTACCTGCTAAATTTCCCTTTAAGGACAGCTATTACAGTTTTTTTTTGCCAAGACAAAAACTGTTATTTGCACTACAATTATTGACACCAATGACTCATGAAGCCCATCTATTGACCAGCTATGCTGAACCATAAGCACACTGTTCGCTTCACACATAAACAAAATTATTGTTTTCATATCTAGTAATTTGTTCAATTGGGGGGGGTGGGGCCCTGGGGACTCCTGAGGTCTAAAGCAGCTTCCACTGGCTCTAATAACAATCGTAATTTCTTTTACACTTTTGTAGTCCCGTCGATAAAAGTGAGGCAGAATAAAGAGAAGGAATAGACTCACCACATTTGTCTTCATCCTCTGCTCCGGCACAGTCTTGATGGAAATCACACATCTTGTCTGGTTCAGCACACGGGTCTTTAGGAGATGGAGGGAAACTTGCCCAGGTATCATTGGCTGTTCGAGAGGAGAATGTGAGATGGCAGATTTATCACAGTGTTTATCAGAGTGTTTGCTCTCATTCTTTGCAGATGTGGAATATTTTTTTTCTTCAAAAAAAAGACTGTTAGAAGGATTACCAGATGACAAGCGGCATTCAGGAGACAACACAATGCTGTCGACAGCGATGCCTCCATACGCAAAGTCCCTGACTGCTGCCATCATTACGATCTATAATGACAGAAAATGGAGGCAAATGTATGTATAGCAATAACAATTTCCTTCAAGACTAAAGCTCTGAAGTGTCATTTACCCATTTGGTGAAAACAATTGCTCTTTAAAATATATCTGAAAACTAAAGGCCCTCATTTCTATATTGATCAGGATTTGTCATTCAAGGACTGAATTAAAAATTCTCTTAAAAGTAAATTTACTTTGGAACCAAATTCCCATGAACATGCATTGCCATAAACAACTGTTTGTATTGCACTTTGCACTTTGTTGTGTTTTGCTTTTATTGATACACCAACCATACCTAAAAACTGTTATTTTCTAGAATATTGGGCGGATTTTTTATCAGCATGGCTCATTACTAAGTCTCCTATGCTAATATGTGTGCAAACGATCACTTTTCTCTTACATGTTTCAATTAAAATGCCATTTACACTTGTGATAAAAAACAAAACAAATATGTGAATCAGGTTTGTTACCCTATCTTCAGCACCTCTGTTTATAGGCTACGGCTACAAACTCAGGTGAAGTACTCACTTGAAAAATGGAGTCGGTGACAATCTCCACCTCTGCCTTCACCCAGACATCGCCCAGAGCGCCGCCCCTCTCCCACACCGGGTAGATCTCACTATCTGCCACCAGCACCGTCAGACCGCCGGACCTCGGCCCAAACTGGTGAGTGTACATCACCATCTACAGCGGGCAGAGACAGAGAACTGGTCAGAAATATCTTCCTTTTTAATCAAAAATGTCCGACTGTGAGGAAATCCCTGTGAAAATTGAAGCGCAAGAGTAAAATGAAAACCTCTCTGACTGAAGAGGGAAAGGGTTTGGGACTCACCTTGCAAGGATGTGAAATGTTGGTGGGCTCGAGGCGGGGACTTTGGAACGCAGCCCAGTCATGTGTGAGACCACCATCAGGGACAGTGACATAAAGGAAGTGACCTGCAATGATAATAGTGATATCCTGCATTTACATATAATTATTTCTTATGTTTAAAAACAACATCTGAACATATTGACATCGTCAGACTATGATACCTGTTGCGCTGTTGTTGGAGTGATCCCTGCCTGGTCCCTTCAGAGGATCCGTGACGGAGATGTTCTCCTGATTGGTCCTGACCCATCTCAGTTTGGACAGTGAACTCAGGTCCCAATCACAAGAGCCCTCCTCGAAGTCACACGCCCGGTATCCATCTGGAGACACAATAAACACACGCAGCTTACATTGACTGGTGCTCACTGAATGTGTACATGCACGGGTTGAATGTACGGAAACGTTGCCTCTTCTCACTGAATATCAGCAACGTTGTGGAGTGTTGAAAAGTGTATTCCATACAGACAGCTGTGGGGGAAATTCAATAAATTCTGCCGGGAATTTGGGAAAAATTCTGGGAACTTTGCAAAGTAGGTACTTTGCAAGAATATCACAGAATACATTTCACAGCAAGACAAAGTGGTGTGGAAAACGCAAGTAGGTGGACTTTGACTTACGAATTTTTCTCAGGTTTTTTTCCACTAAAAAACACGTTCTCCTAACGTATTTGTCATATTGAGCAATGTAAATACTTTTTTTTTATGTCCCGGATTTTGAAGACTTCTGCCTTCAACCAAATACAATGGAGGTGAAGGGAGTTGTATTTGTGGAGCTAAAAAACATGAAAAATGACATTTGAAAAACTGGGATATAAACAATATCCCAGTAAAACGTTTTTCATTGGGAATTTCACTAGAAAGTAGTCCGGTGAAATTTGCAGAGGTCATCCAACACCACAAAGTGTACGAATTTTCTTTTTTTATTGCTGGTTGAACTGCCGCTCTAATCTCTTATGACAGAGTTTTTTGTACTTTGTCCATTTGTACAGTGAGTCATCCGTGTCTGGACAAATTCCAAACATATGTACTTTCCCGTGGTGTCAGAGGGCTCTGTGCTGTAATATTTCTCACCACAGTTCTCCTCATCAGTCCCGTCACCGCAGTCGTCGCTGCCGTCACAGAGCTGTCGCTGCTCCACGCAGCCCCCCCGCCTACACGCCTTCATCTCTGGGGGACACCCTTCCCCAGAGAGAGGGACTGATGACGTAGCGAGAGATAAAAATCATTATGCTCATCGTGGTTCAGCAACTTTAACTGATCAATTTACAGATTCATTACAATTAACTGCTGATGGGACTGTACATGAGTGGTGTATTTTGAGGGACTCACGGGGCAGAGCGCAGTCCAGAAACTCCATCTGGTCCACCGCCACGTCTCCTCTTCGCCCCTCGGAGCGCCGCGAGCGCAGACGGATTTGGAAGCCTGTGGGAATGCGGCCCAGAAAGACGGTGGCCTCCCTCCAGCCACGTACGCTGGAGGCCTCGGGACGCCACACGACGGCCTCTCGAGAGTCCTGGCGAAGGATGGACACCCACAAGGGCGTGGAGCCCAGACCCGTGTGACCTAATAAACAACAACAACAACAACAACAACAATAACTATGTCTACTAATACGTTTAAAAAGGCTACAGTTGGAGAATCAATACAATTATGAGACAATTACAAAACATAAATTACGTGCAATAATGTTTCAAATGTGCAATTATTCAACTGCTCAATACATCCATTGATACAGCATTTATACTTTTGTATTCATACTTGTGTTATATATTGTAGCATTGTGTACATCATTTACATTGTATTTTACTTTGTCCTTTATTTAAATGTTTTTCTTATATTTCTGTAATATACTAACTTCCCACCTTTATCAATAAAGTATTCTGATTACAAGCAGGGATATGTGAAAACAAATACTCATTAAATACATACAAATTCTAAAAAAAGTAGTAGAAAATAATATGAAATTCTGTCTATAAGGTTGTGTTTTAAGATACAAAAGAAGCTTGCAGTTTGAACGTACGACCCGTTGTGATTAATAGTCGTTACCTGAGTCCCACAGGAAGTATCTGAGACGGAGGCGGCAGGTTGGTGAGGACTGTTTCATCTCTGGGGAGATTAAATCCGCAGTGCTGAGAGACCCTGCCGTCACTGCGCTCACCCCCATGAACCAACCTGTGCGAGAGGGAATATAAAAAGTGCAGGGTCTGATAATCAGACTTCTGATCTAATAAGACAAGCCGGACCCGTGTTAAATAAGATACTGAATTAAATGTATTCCCAAGTTGAACAAAAAGAAGCACCTCATAGTATTACCTCAAAATACTTGTTGCATGGACAACATGAGGACATAAAGACAAAATAGAAAAAGGGACAAGTATGAAACCACACCTGTAGCCGTCCCGGTGGAGTAGTCAGAGGACGGCCCGCTGTCGAGCAGCGTCTCCACTCCTCTCTGACGTCTCTCCCAGCCGTACTCTGCTGCATTCGAGGACCGGTCAGTCCATCCACACGTCCCTGCTCCCTCAAAGTCACATTTGAACCCTCTGCCGCTGTAGCCTTGAGGTGGAAAAGAAACTATGGCTCACCGGTGGACTGTATTCAAATACTACATGCAGATATAAACAGGGATAAAGTGAAAACTGATCATACTCTGTGAAGTTTCTGCTAATGATACAAGCACTAATAAGCATATTAACAGTGTTCAGACATCTTCCCTAGGTATCACTCTAAATAAAGTTATTTCTGACTGCCGGACTTCCATTTTGACACATGACAGTGCAATTTTTAATGAATGTTGAATGTCAATCAGTTGTCGGCCTCTGTAAATACAATGCCCTCTCGGTGAGCAAAGATGAGAGTATAGTTACAATAAACAACTGCGAAATCATTTCGGAGCAGGGTCGTTGCATGTGATCTCACATTTGAAGAACAGTATTCGGACTTACCACAGTCTTGCTCATCGCTGCAGTCAACACAGTCGCACACAAAGTCACATTTCCATTCAGGAGCCTGGCATACACTAGCCCAAGAGCCAGCCGCTGTGAGGTAAGATAACAACATCAGGCAGCGTTCCCCACATAACACACGCAAATATCTGATGCAAAATTAAAATTGATCTCCACTCAAGGCCTACTTACTCGCATGTTCTGAAGCTTTCGACCACGTCACACTGTCTTCATCAGCACAAGAAGTTTGCATTATTCCGAGCACTTTTAGGACTTTTTCGTCCATGTTTTTGTTTATTTGGAAGCCTTTCAGCTCAAGGCTCGTCTCCGATTTGTCCATGTTAAAATCAACAGTAAAAACAAAACGCAAACATTGTCTGCTGACGAAGTCCGAGCGATGAGGTTGAAAGCTCCAGAACAAGCTAGTAAGTGGGTCCTTGAGTGGAGATTGTTTTGTCAACTGCCGATCTCAAGGTGGAAAATGAACCGCCGGACTCAACTTATCTCGTCTTTTGAATCTAAGCTCTTCTAAGTGTGAAATGTCACTCCAGCCGTCAGATAAATTTAGTAGTGGAGCAGAAAGCACAATATATTCCTCTCCCATTGTTGTAATACCTTAAGTATCACAACAGTACAAGTAATTGCACTTAAATACTGTGTAAAATCTCACAGGTGACACAAACTCTCTTATCAGGACTCGTTACTGTCACAGATTTATGGCACAGCTAATGCCAACAGGCTCAAAGGCCAGAGAGACGCAATCAGGTCAGCGCCAGCAACAATCCTTCTGTTCATCCAAAGGTCTCTGGTAGCGGACAGCTGGATGTGAGACGTGACACCCAGCAGATACACGCAGCACTGACTGACTCATAGTGAGAAAAGATGTTCCGTTATCACACGCAGATGACTCTGAGCTATAGGGTCACGTTTACGGAGTTCTGTTGACACCAATTAAATCAATTCAATAAATTGTTTTCTTTCAAAACAAAAAATACACACTCATTGTAAGACTGTAAACCATCCACATTTGAACATGTGTACTCAATACAGTGTATATATTTACTGTATAATCAATATTTGTTGTTAGTGAGCACAAGACGGGTTGAGAGGAAACTTCTTAACTGTTTTTGTCCTTTGTATGTGAAAACAAGTAAAGAAATATCAATGTATGTAAGTGAATGCTGCACGAACACATGTCAACAACATGAATCACAAGTAGTGCACCATAATACAAAATAAAGTGTCCAAAAAAAAGAACAAGTTTCCTGTTAATGTTTAAACACAAACGGCTTATTCATTTTTATCACTTATTTGTCGTTTGCTTACTTGTAGTCAAACTGATGTGTAATGATGAATACTGATATACAACCACATGAGGTCCTGATCTCAGTGTTCTAAATGGAAGTCAAAGCTCGGTGTATAAGAGTTTTATGACAGCTGGTGAAACAATACTTTTTATGAACTCTTTTGTGGCTTGAGCAGGAAGGTTTATTCTTGACCTTGTAAACGGTATGTTCGGTGGTTATTTCCAGAAAGAGCCATCACGTCTTTTGTCAAACCTTCAAACACTACTTTACAGAGCTATACGATGCCACAAGCCAAGTTTACCCACCAGCAGCAGCAGCATTTCTACATTTAAAAAGTGACTTAAAATCCCACACTGTTTGAATAGAGTCTTGCTGAGTGTGTTCTTACCAAACTGCAGAGTCAGCAGCAGAGTGAGGGCCGACCTCCTCCAGGGCAACATCTTCTGTTTTCCTCTCTCCCACCTGATCGGTCTGGAGCTCCGAACGCAAGCTGGAGAGTCTTTATTGGCCGACTGTGACCTCTTCTCCGCCTCTTAAGAGATAACATCCGGACTTTAAAGTCTCCCAGCGCGCAACTGCAACAGACCATCATAAAACTATTTCCTCCAAATGATTTCCACAGTTTATACATCCGTGCATTGCACAATAACTTAAGTAGACACAGTTGGCAACAGATACACTGGTGCAATTCAGGTGCAAACAGCAACATTTAAAAAAATAAATCACACTCCAAATAGTATTATCCTTTTATTTCATCTTTATTTACCAAATTCAGTCACTGACTTTGTTCTGGAAAGGCACTTTAAGTAAAGTAAAGCAAAGTCCTTTATTAAGGGAACTTAGTTTAGCTCTGGGCTCTATTCATGCCATCGTCTACACACTAGATAAATGGGAATTAAGCTATATGTACCATCTTCTAGGTGCTGTTACCAAATGAACCCTTTTAAATTAGACCGTATTAGTGTTAATAATAGCTTCTATGTCTGTGATGAAGTGTTTGTGCCATTTTGCAACTTCATGTTCTTTTTTTCCCCACAAAATGCAGGTATCAAAGCAGCCAGACATCACTGTCGCCTCCATACATGAAGAACTACCAGCCTTGCTCCAAACCGTGACAACACACACCCACACACACTCCGCAGCTGTCTCGCTTCACAATTGCATCTTTTGTTTATGACACACGTAGGAATCTCAATGTTAAAAAAAAGAAACATTTTGATTGGACAGCCCCCACTGGGAGAATTGACAGTGCGAATCATCTCAAAAGTCCCGTCCAGCGTGGTTGAAGATTTGGGCGGAGTAACAATAGCGTAAAACGCAACTCAGCTAGCTCAACAATTTACCACAATAAGACAGTTTGGAAGGCACATCTTCCTTTCACTTTTGATGGAACAAACAGTTGCCGCTACGGAGGCATAACAATATCGGTTTAAAATACTTTACATTAGAAATACAAGTTCAACAGCATATCTGGTGTCCTTTCATTGGCAACCAGTACGTCAGCATTTCAAAATACTTCAGCACAACATAATCTTGGAAGATCATCGAGTTCATTTTGACTTATCTACCCGGATTTAATTGAGGTCATTCTTCAGCAGTTTACAGTCGATGGCCATCGATACAACTGCCGTTTGCCAAAAGTAAGATAAGCATTGCGTGTGTTTTGCTCTGCGACAGAAGGAACACAGTGTGCACACAGTTTAAAAGCAGTTTTTAGGAAACATTTATGAAACATACATCACAACAAAAGCATCTACAGTTCCAACATATCTTAGTGATTAGGTCATATTTGCGAGGCTATGTGACTCTACAACAAGTCGGTGAGGGACTGCGTGTCAGGACAAGTTATTCATTCACATTAGAAGAAGACAACCGTGCATTTGTTTTAGATCCAAGTAGAGTGTTTGCTATTTCTTTACTTTACTGTAACATAAAAATCGACCCCCCCCCCCACCGCCCAAAAAAAGGCTCGTCTTCTAATCAGACCCGTCGCTGTTCGTCAGTCTTAGTCTTGGATTATCAATGTGGTATCAAAGAGCTTCTTATCGGGCTCTGTGTGGTTCCTAATGAGGGGGTTACAGATAAGTGACATGTCAGTCCAGGAGAAAGGGCGCCCGCCAGAGGCTGATCTTAGGTCAGTTCAGTATCCTTCATTGTCCCAGGTCACCTCATATTCTGGATACTGAGCCTTCAGTTTCTCAGTAGCTACAGCGTGGTTTGCTCTTCCAAATCCCTGCAACGAAAAAGTTACACGTCAACGTTCCATCAGAGGTTAACCAGTTATTCAGGCTGAAATAATCAATATGAAACACTGAATGTAATGATGAAGTGAAAGGGATCGCTCCTAGTGATGAACCCATCACTTATCATCAGGTAACTCTGCAGCAATGTGGAGCTTTTCAGCCTCTTTCAGCTCAGAGTCGTGGTTTTATGGCACGTTTACTCTTATGTACTATGCATGTCATTGTCATCACAGTTTTTATTGAGCTGAATTCTCTCACTATCGAGTATCCGTAGACGTGGAGCTTCTTGGCCTGGGGGTCGTGGCTGATCCTCCCTCCTCCGACACACTCACAGTCCAGGTGGCCGCCCTTTTCCAGCTCCTCCGACACCTTATCATAGATATCAGCTGCAAGAAGAGGCATAAACAATGCACTTTATAGTACATTTCATTTTCCAGATATAATTTAGAATGATAGAAAACACAGTAGGCTCAGCATTCATACAGTTTCTTTATGATACGAGAGTAATTAGAATCACAGATTTTGACATCAATATGCACTTTTATGAATAAAAACTGTGTCTTGGATTTTGGCGTGAACACATTTTTTGTAATAAACAAATGAGGTTATAGTCTAGTGTTTTAGTCACCAATTGTTCAAAAAATATTCCCCCAAAAATATGAAAAGGGTAGCATATCCCAGATTTCTTTTTTTTTTTTTTTTTTTTTTTTTTTTTAAATTTGGCCCACATCCCCGTTCAGTAAAATAAACAAGGGCAGAGTCAAGACACCGCTTAGAAGTTGGATCCAATTTTTTAGGAAAACATGGACCAACATATAGTTAATTCTGATCTAAACCCCATAACATACAATACGAAGCTTCACAAACCCTGTTTCTAGTCACCATTGGTAAATATTAAGACCAGACACTAGATGGCGGTAAAGGCACACTTGAATAAGAGGTGTAGTACGCACAGTAGCATGTGAATGTTTCATCCATATTTTACTCTGCCATACCTAACCATGTTAGCCTTTAAGGCTCGATCCCTGGCTTAAGTCTAAACTAGAGATACACTGCTACCAACATTTCAAAACACAGGACTGGATCCTGCTTTTTACTCAGGCAGGTCTGACTGACAGTCTGACAGAGGTGATGATTGGTTGGTCATTTAGGAAGCAGGTGTTTCTGTAAGTATTAAAAACGCCTCAGTATTCACAATACAATTCAAGAGCACCATCAACTACATCATCCAGAATGAGTATAGTGAACATACAGTCGACTCGACTGAAGGTAGGATTTCATGCAGGACTATTTAATTAGACTGCATTAGTTTTAGCTAGGTGTTCCTAATAAACTGGCATCTGACAGTAGTTATTTTGTACAGCCGCTAAACATTATCTCTCTAGGCCAATAACAATAATGTCAGGAAGTAAAGTGACATTTTTTTATCAACCTGACAAAATTAAGTTCTTGTGGAAAGAAAAGAAAAGGCAACACTGTAACTTCTTTACATTCTAATAGAATGTAAAGAAGCTACAGTGTATAGGGGGACAATAATAAGCGGAACACCGAGTGTAGCCGCTAGCTAACGGTCTCGTGCTCTGTGATAGACGGTGTTGGTGCCCCTGACTCACCGTGGTACTCGGCCCAGGCGTATCCTCGGACTATATCTATCTCCGAGTCGTCCCCCTCCTCTTTGCTGTGCACTCGGATCAGGACGTACTTAAAAACGCCGGACGGGTCGATGTCCACCCGCGGTATGTTGGCCATCAGAGCCGCGGCCCTCGTCTGCGTGCACATCTCTAGGCTACTCAGCGAGCAAACTAGCAGACACGCAAACAGACAAACTGCGTATATTTTCCCTGCGAACTCCGTGTCTGCGTCTACGTAGAAAGCTGAACAGCTCTCAAGCCCGTTTATATTTTCTTGTTTTAGACGCGAACGGACCAGCAGGAAGTCATCGCAACAGAAACCGGAAACCTCACTCGCGTCCGCTTCCGCATTGCAAGCTACAATTTAGATTTCTTCCGGTCACAGCCTTCAAAATAAAAGCACTACTGTCATCTTCTGGAGCTGAGGTTTTCCCAGTCAATCCTGTACTCATTCGGAAGCTAAACAAGCACATTCTGCCTTGTCCACTCACACCACACTGCAGTATGTTATTTACTCCTGATCTTGTAAGTCCCTTGTGTCTTTGTATATTATATGGATGTTATGCAGTTTCATTGTCAGCCAATCTTGCCATACTGATTGTGGATTCTGTGTGTGATGACACTCATTGCTGTATGGTGACAGCAGAGGTGAGAGAACACAACTCTGGATGAAATGACATGTCTAATGAAAACTCAGGAATAGTGATTTTAGAGGATATTTTAAAACAGAAAATTACTTTTAAAGTCTCCTCCTTTACATCTTCAACTAGGTTAAACACATGAGACCCTTTGCTGAATGTATTATTTTCATTATTGACATTACCTGCCATGGTTATTCTTGTATGTTTTGTATTGTTATGTTTTACTAATTCTGATATTGTTACACTTGAATGCCTTTTTTTCTCTCCTGCACTTATTCATCTAATCATATCATTATGTCATAAGCTAATAAATCAAGCACATTAATAACCAAGACAATTGTTTTATTGTATTTTGTCCTTCATTTGTTCAATCTCATTATCTTCTGATTCTTCTACTGACCCCCATTACTCAATCTGTGAGTTCACCAATGAAATAGGATGATTTATCAGCAAATTACATTACATATCACATTACTGCAAAACTATCTGAAATAAAACGCATTTTGAGCGCAATGCAGGAAGTCATCAGAACAAGCTAAATACTTTTGTGGAGCAAAGTATTTTGGTAGTTGTAGTCCAGAGCAAACCGAGGAAGGAAAGGCGTGTAAGAGTGGAAAGGACCCGAATACAAAACATATATTTAGTTATCTGGAGTAAAACACACGTGACCACACAGAGAGCGATGAAACGACACGATAAAAATCATACAAAATTCACATTGACTTCATATGAATTAATCATTTAAGATGGCTAATTCTAGTGAAAATGTTGGTAAGGTGTAAAATCTGTTAAATGTATTTCCACACTTGATTGAATGTAAACTGCACCAATTTTCACCAGGATTGTCCAATTGTTTCTTTTAGCAAAACACCTAATGCCACAAGAATGGTTTGAAAGATGCTACAGTATACATCGATATTCAACACACACACGGGCTATCTGAGAAGCTCTTGGAAAAGGCACTGACACACTGAATTACTGCAACCCAAATCTAAATTTAGCACAGCTGCATGCCAAGAGTTGCCTTTGGCTTTTAATGCCAGCACACCTGAGTACACATTGGAATGTCTTCATGTTGAAGCATACATTTCTTTATAATGATCATCTCTTTTTGAGGGTTAAATTGCTTTCATGTTTCACCTCAACATATAATGCAGAGGGGGTGGGCACAATACATGTAATATAAGTAGTGTGTAATCCAATCCATCAAAGCAGTCCTTAAATTCTAGTTTTATGGTGCAAAATATGTCCCATAAACACCACCACACGTCAGATACAAAAACAACCACTCTCAACTTAAACTGATCACTACTACTATTGTCCAAAGTAAAGTGGTGAATTCATGACTGAAACATGTTTTACTGTCAAAAAAAGACAAATATAAACTTTAAGTCTGTGAGTAAATACGTTGTTTTGGAAGGTTAGATGCAAGTTTTGTTCAGTAACTTAAAGACACATCAGTCCTTTCTAGCTATTTGCTATCATTACATTATTTTTATATTTCTACCATTCGGAAATGTGTTGATATTATGCTGTTGAAATAAAAGCTGCCACTTGAAAAACATCTTTGAATAAAAATATATATAGATATATATATATATTCAAAGATGTTTTATATATATATATGCAATAGTGATTGCTATCATATTAAACTGGTAGTTATCTCCACAATGTGCTTCATTTTACTGCAACAGCGCCTCAGAATACAGTCCCATAACGCTGGACCTTTTTACATTCAATCAAATGTTGGTTGGATTTTTCCAAGAATAAAAATGACATTCAGACCTCCGCTGTAGTGCCAGTGTGATATGTTCTTAAGCCGACAGCCGATCACACAGTATTCGGTCTGTGACATGTCTTCATTGTGTTGGCTCTGTACTCTACTACATTGGATTTGAAGTGACACAAAAAAAGGACTGAAGTTAAAGCTGTAGTCATTTAAGCAGTCCCAAAGTGATTCTAATTATACAACTAATTAGCAATCAGTGAATATGCAGTGCGGTCTCCGTGTTTTGGAGACCATGTATATGAAAAGACATACAAGTTCCTACACCGGTCTGGGCTAGTGTAGAAACATGACGGTGAGACATGACCCCTATGTAGATATGAAGAGCTCATTCTAAGGTAAGGAAAACACAACAATTCTTAGTTTCAGGTGATTATACACTAATAAAAACATAGTTATGTATATTATATTATATTTCTGTGACTAGATCCCCAGAACTGCTACACACTGGACCTTTAAATAAAGCTCAAATTCAGCTCTTTAACCTCACAGATTTGTTTTAGATCCAACATTGTGTAGTACAGTACGGCGTTATTCTATCTAGATGGTGCTTTCACTGCCTCCTTTCTTCTTCCCACCGCGAGCTTGGAATACGATGAAGACCAGGACCGCCGCGAGCAGGAGGACAAAGAGAAAGATAAGCGTTCCCCACGCTCCCGGGGTCAGGGCCTTCCTCAGCCCCACCGTCTCTGCCGGCAGCAAACTGCTCAAACTCAGCATGTAGCCCAGAGCCCAACCCACCGATGCGTCCCCTGCCTGGAGGATCAGCAAGAGTGGAAAACGGGGGTCTTTTATTTGTGTGTAAATGAGCATGGAGGATATACATTTTGGTGAAAAGATGATAAAGTTCTCACCTTCTTCTGGAAGGAAATGCGTGGGAACGATGTCTCATCGAAGCCGTATCCTCTCAACATGAGAATCTTAACGTACACAGAGATAGCACAGTAGTCCTGCAGATGAGACTTTAGCTTCGGCGCCAGAAGCAGCATCTGGAACAAAAAAACCAAGACCGTCTTACAATGTTGCAGAACAGAATATAGACATAACGTTAAAATGCACAGTGGTGCTTTGAGCTTAACGCTAATAGGACGATGCTAACACGCTCACAATCGCTACGCTCACATGATGATGTTTAGCGGGTATAATGTGTACCACGTTCAACATTTTGATTTGGCATTTTAGCATGCTGCTATTGCTCATTAGCGTTAAACACAACGTACACCTCAGGCTGATGGGCACGTCGATAGTTTTGCAGGTATTTGGTCGTAAACCACACAACTCTGCACATTCACAGACACAAAAAAAGACATAAAAATCATTGGCACATGAATTTAAAAAAAACATTACTTCTTTGAAAGTCATCCCGCACACTGTTTTGGAGGCCTCCTCCAGTTGTGAAGGAGTGCTCGCAGTGATACTGGTGGCACGCTGCAGGAAGGAGTGACTGTAGTAGAATGCAGAGAATGCCTGGTACCCAGAAAGAGGACAAAATACAAAACTCAGACTGGGGCAATTAATACCACATGGAAAATAAACTACCAAGGAGAGGAATTGAACACATATAGACACAAAAAATTATGTTCACAGCCTATGTTTCTATCTGCACATTGAGGCTATATTGTATTACTAAATTTCTTACTAAATTTCTTGCTGCAAATATTTTTCCCTGAGTATATTTTTGAATGCAGGACTTTTACTTGTAATGCAATATTTCTATATTGTGGTGTTTTACTTTTACTGAAGGGAAGATCTTAAGTCCATTCTGCTCACTTAGATATTATGATGTTAGGTAACTAATGGTCCAAATGCAAAGGCCTTTTATATCAATGGTTCCCAAACTTTTTCCTTTCCTTATATTGAGTAAACTGACGACCCAACTAAGTGACATGGTTTATGGATATTTCATCTTATATTCAATGCAAACAATAACAGTACAGAACAACTGATAAACTGTACAACTAGAAGAGTGAAACCCATAACTGCAGGACATTTGTGTAAAACGAGCAGTTTGGATGAATTTCCTGTGAACATTGCATCATAACTTTTAATGCAATTCTCTGTCTACATTATGTATTTTGTTGTAATTTCTAACAATGATTCAGTATTTCCTTCTCCTCACAGCTTGGCCATTGCTCTGTTAGCTCTATTATTTCTGAAATAATAATTTTTATTTACTTTTCTTCACGGAAATGATTGACATACACAGATATAGGTCAACTGTATATATTTGTTTTAAAAATGGTCTTACACCACTTAAAATCAATAAGGACTTGTGAGGCCCCCCCGTCCTCCTTGTCTAGTCTATAAAGCTACCAACGTGTACAACCCCTCTGTGTCATCTGACCCCCTCCAGCCTTTCTTACCATGAAGCCACCGGTGACATTTGGCTGGAAGACTTTATCAAAGGAGCACTGGGAGAACGGACAGCCGTCGAAGGAGAAGATCTCGGACACGTTGCTCAGACAGTGTTCATAATGCCCGCTGCCTTGTATCGTCAGAGAAGCCTGGGAGTCGTAGGAGCTGGGTTTGTACTTCGCAGTACACGGTGAGTTGAATATACTGTTCAACTTTAAAATTCTGTTGTGGCCTGCAGGGTAGCAGGGGTGAGTGACTGACCCAGAGTAACCCTGAGACTGAGAGAGACAGAGAGATATCCATTAAAATGCACATGTATAATTTTGCACTTCTCCTATAACATAAAATGTGAAATATAGTTGTGTAATGAGAACCCAACCAATTTCAAGTCCATTCTCTCAGATGTCGATATTGCCGGACTTTTTTTTTGCAGTCTTGGAAAGGGAGGCGTGAGCAACCTCACCTCCAGATGCCATCAAATCCTACACACTGTCCCTTTAACTACCATATAGGAAACATTGATATAATGTCTGAATTCTGAATGTACATACAAAGCAACTCATAAAGCTGTATGTTGCATTGAAATCCATCAGTGTACTGTTTAGTCTGGATCTAAAGACAGTGAAGACACTAAGATTAATGTCTGGATCCTGAAGAGAGAAAACAAGTCCACTAACTCTCCCCTGTTATAATACAAATATTATAAAAGGGTCTTTAAAGACTGCATCTTTATACAGTATACATGTATGATGACAAAGTAAATAGCAGGTTGTTTCATTTCAGTTTTAGTGAGCGTGTCGTCTTCCACTACCTTCACTATGTGAGCCAGCAGCCTCTTGAGGACCTGGTCTTGCCCGTAGCACAGGAAGCTGTGTGTGTACAGAGTGTACTCCTGGCCATAAAGGCGAAGCTTCATCATGTCGCGCTGGTCCTCTAGTTCCTCCTGAGTCACAAATGTTATCTGGGTGGATGCCCCGCCGAAATCAAGTGCTCCCACTGTGGGCCTGCCGGGGCTGAACCAGCGCCCCACGAAACCATACTGTGGAGAAATGAGAAGGGAAATAGGAGAAGATAATGGGAATAGTGATATATGAGCATCAGTGTTGCAGAGGCCACTAGGTGTCATCAGTCATCCGCTAAATACGCTTTAAAGAGACAAACAAACACCTTTGCAACAATGCAGTGCAAAAATGAAATATTTGAACAGATTTAAATGCAAGCTGCTTTTTTTTTTAGCACCATTGCTGCTGTACATTTCTACAAATCATCGTCTGAGTTGATTAAGATGAAACGTACTGACTCCCAAAACACGGTACCTTTATGAAGTTCTCTAAGAGGTAGTTGACGGTGACCCAGCCATACGCCCCTTCCTCTTGACCGCTCAGTATGGTCGCCCCCTGGTAGCTGAATGGGTAGGACTGGATTTTGTGGCCCACCTCCTGCAGAATCTGAACTGACAGCTCTGGGCTTGAGATGCTTGTTGGGGGAAAAAAAGAGTCTTCTTTTACTAAATTGTTACAGCTGAAAATCAGTTTTCACAAATCTCGCTTAAAACTCACTGTCTCACTGCTGACCTCTGACACTATAAAGATTCAGCTGACCCACGCTGACCCGGACCTTAAAGATTTACTACTATACAGTTAAATTAGTGCTTTTATGTACACTGTAAGAAGTTACATTAGTGCCAACATGTTACGAGTGCAAAGGGATGTTTAGTAGAGCTGGATAAATTTCCGGTTTTGCCGGACCGTTTCCGGTGGACAAGCTTTAACCAGTTTGAATTTATGCAAATCAGCTGAACCGACGTTTATCATTTTGACACGTTGAGGCAAATTAAAGAGAAACCTGTGGCAACAACGTCACAGCGCTAAATCCAACTTGTATGTCATTGGTTAAAGGCAATATGACAACGTGATGAACATTTAAACATTTACATTTAAGGAGCCGCTTCCATCTCACAGGCTGAGACAAAAAAGAGATCAAATCTCAGTAGAGGTGGGAGGGGGGAAGGAGCACACGTTGTGTTTGTTTCCTAGAAAGTTCATGGGTTTTTTGGGGTGACGAGACATGACAGAGTTAGTGTCAAAGAAAACAAACAAATATGCCAATACAGCAACATTTTGAAGCTGACGAAGGAGGCGATATGAAGAACAAGGTCGAGGCAACGTGTAAACGTTTTTTGTTTTTATTAACCCGGCCCCGTCCTATTGTTTAGAGAAAGATGAAAAATAGGCAGACTGTGTCTTGCCTCACACTGTAGGTTTTATGTAGCTTAAGTTTGCACTGTGCAAATGATTTCCATATCCACCTCTGACAGCCGTTTTTTGCTGCATATCCCAAAAAGCGCTCGGTCAACAGCTTTGTGCTCTCAAAGCTTCATGCAGTCATACCGTTTATCAGGTTTCTAATTAGACCAGAAGGAAGGTGTGGATAGTCTGTAGAGAAATGTCTTGACATCCATGCCACAACAGCAAACCTCACACATGAATAGTTACTTCAGTTGTGTTTACAGCATACGGCCCATTGCTACTTATTATGACATTCATAAATCTACTGGAGCAATGCTGAGGAACGTTTACAAGCAGGGAAATCAAGAGGCAGCAACTTACAGTAGTTTGTTAGGTTTATATTAGTCTGAGGACAGGCAATATGTTTATGTTCCCTCATATGACTAAAGAAAGAAAGGATTGGTACTACAGGGCTTAGCAGACAGACAGCTCTGGATGCAAAATATGTGATACAAGATGTCCACATGTAACAGGTTTGATATTGCACAAGGTACATAATTATGTTTTGACGAGCACTTTATTGCTTTACTGTTTTATTATTGTCACACTGTACAAAAGGATTAGCGCGTGACAGTGTTGCATCCATGGATTCATGTGAAAGAAAAATAAAGTCATGTAGAAACACAACAAAATAAACACAGACAGAGACAGTCTGGTCTCTCACACAAACACACACACACACACACACACACACACACACACACACACACACACACACACACACACACACACACACAGTTTGACTCACTTCAGAAGCCTCATGCCAGCTGTGGCTCCCAGGTACACAGGTGTGAGCTGGTGTCTTTCTTTGGGGATGTCCTTCACTGCCTGGTCCAGACATGCCTCTAAGCTCTGCCCTGCTGCTCCCTGCTGGCCCGCATAGCTGGAGATCCCTCCGCCTGAGCCGGCGATCAACAGGTAGAAGAAAAATAAACTCTGATTACAAGATGGACGTGTAGGATCTTGTTCTCGTGTGGGATGCTGTGATGCACCTTGCATCATGGTGCAAATTGATCACACCCACAAGACTAGAGATTTCCCACAGCGACCCAGAGAGCATGATAATCCCCTTTGAAAAATCAATTTATAGAATATAAGCGTTATTCCGTACTGTTAGCAGAAGTCCCTGTGAGGACTACAAATGTCACGAATCATTTCTAAGGACTCTCGTAGCCTTTGAATTGTCTGATTTTAATTTATACGCATCATTCTCGGACATAGGGATCAAAGTTCACTTCTGACTGTGGCCTTTTTACTTTTATGAAACTTCACAGTGTCAATGCCGTGTTCATGACTAATTGGAACAAAATAAACATTTGTTTATCAAAGCCAAGAGGCATGAGGACCCTTTGGCGGGACACGGACTCATTCCTGATTCACGATGGCTCGAGACAAAAGAGCTGCTTCACTTGCTGCGCTCAGCTGTGACAACATCAGCCGTTCACAGGAAACAGCTGGCACTCTTCCAGATCCCACCTACTACATGTCACTAGAAACACCTGTGTTTTAAAATGTAAAACGTTTACACTCTGAAGGCTTGAAAGGAGGCTGACGTGTTTGTAGCTTGCTCTCCTATAGTCCATAATAACTTCCATAAAAACTTTTCAAACCACTGCCACAGCTTATTGATTCACCGCTGCCAGTTTGTATGCACATTATCTTATAACCACTCACATTTTCACACATAATTGCTCCATGCACAGCTTTTATATTATGCTAGTGAGCCAAGAAAGTGCTAAAACGTCTGTAAAATCTTCATCCTGCAGCGTAAATCTTCTTTGCAGTATGTACATATACTCTGTATGTTCCAAACCCTCTAGTTGACATATGCCAAAATGCACGGCTATGTGGTTAGCTGCTTGACATGCTAATAATGGTCGCAGTGAGCGACAGGTAGCTAATTGTGCTGGCGTCAAACAGAAGCCAGTTATTGGTAAGAAGAAAAAAAACAATGACTAAGCATGAGAATGAGCAGAAACAGATGTAGCAGTGGTTTGAAATATCTCTATGCAGGTTTTTACTGGAAAACATATGTTTAACTTTTACATATTACAAATTATTATATTATCTATTTGCTCTACCGCTGCCATGAACAATATTGGGCCATAGCTATGATGAACTGGTTTTTACAAATTAAATTACATATTAAATAGTTCAATATTGTGTAGGTTTGTATGTGGTTAGACAATCATTAAATGACATGCTTAATTAACGTATACTGTATATCTTAATGATATGTCAAATTCGGTTCAGTCGATATGAATGAATTGTGACAAATCGTGCAGAGCATGTTAAAGTCATGTCGTCCACTGTTAAACCTTACAGTTGATACGCAATCAGTCCGAGGCCTCAGTAAGCTATTAACGCAAGACAAAGTCACTAAAAACAGCGACATCGTAACAGTTGCACGATCAGCACCACAGACAGCGCCATGCTTCCAACGAGCAAGACTAAGACAGCGTGCGGCTCAGGGGACATTTTATTCTGCTCTCTCTCTCACATATCTATTACTCGAAGTTGGGAAAAAATACACTAAATAATGCCAAATGTTTTTAACCACCGAAAAGCTTGAGGACGATGCAGGAGAACAACTTACACAAACATGATATGAAGAACATGATTGTGGCCTCCGTACTTCTGAAAGTAAGAAAGCACTTCTGAAAGCTGGTTTTATATGGTGGTTCTTTGCTTATGATGTGTGCTTTGTTTAACTTAAAAGACTGACCTTCTCGTGGCCTACTTGGCTGAAAACCTTGTCTCGACTTTTTGTCGACACATTGTCTTATGCTAACATTATGTTTACTAATCAGGAGGGCACTCCGTTGACTATTTGTGGCTGTCTTTTGACAGTTGCCGTGGCTTATTGTGAAGGGAGAGAGCGGCCTCCTAAACACCCGTAGCCCTGGGGCCTAGAGTAATATTAAGGAGCTTCTGGCTGTTGGACTGATCTGGCTACAGACGCTGTGAAGAGAAAGTTCTAAACTTTTCAGAGCCACCTCTGAAGTGTGCGAGTATTGGTACCCAGAGAGTTTAATATGCAAAACATGTGTTGTTTTTGGGTTGAAGGGAGCGCTGACACTTACCGTTAACACGGCATTCGCTGTGCTGGGTGACCACGCCCGTTCCATTTTGCTTGTCCGCTGGCCACTTGTATATGTACAGAGTTGTGTGCGAAGATCCAGCATCCAAGACAATCCCGTACTACAGAGAGCAACAGGCAGAAGAAAAGAAAACACATGGAGAGAGGTAATTGTACAGACACCCTTGAAAAGGGAAGTTAAAAAAGACAGAAGAGTGAGACGGAGGCTGTGTGACCTGGATTTTGGCGTCTGGAAGACGTTTAGCTGCAAACAAGATTAACTTGTAGCGCCACCTTCAAAGGTTACCCTCAGGGTGTTCTTTTACATACAGTATATGATGGACAGAAACTGATTGCATTTGCTTTTCTATAAACACACAGGAATATAGGACATTGTATCACCGCGCATCTCAACCTTTGTGCTACAAAGGTTCTGACTTGACTTTTAAAAGAAAATGTTATTTCACAATTTGTTTTGTTAATCCAGTCCTCTTTTAGTGTGTACACGAGCATATGTTAGGAGGAGTTTGATTTGCACCGATTGTCATCTAAAGATGAGGTTTGGTTGAAGTCTCTGTGCAGCAGCTCAAAAATTTCAATCTTAATGACATTGCTGATTAAGATTTTAGCACTTTGAAGTAGCACTTTGGTCTTCTACGTAGAGGATTTACAAGATACATGAAATATAAATTCTAAATCTACTTTGAAATCCTGCTCCACTTCTTGAATCCAGTCAATTTAGGGTGAAGAAAAAAAAAAAAAAATCCAAAAAAAAAAAAAAAAAAAATCGATATATACACATATATATATATATATATTTTTTTTTTTTGAACTGTGTGCTATTAGCCAAATACGATGTACTCATTTTGCAGGGCAAACTCACAACAAGTTAAAACAGGTAAGTGCGTGCTCGTGAGGCGCGTTCCTGCATCTCAAAACACACTACATAAACAGGCACGTGAGAATAAACACACGGAGAGTAATCGATATACATATTGTCATTTTGTGGGTGAAGTATTGCTTTAAGAACTGAGACAGTCCTGACTTTGTTGTTAAGCGGAAAATGCTCCCTCAAATGCCACAGCCTACCCACCGTGATGAAAACCCTGTTGCCATGACACTGCTTCCCCTCTCCCTGCCATGTGGAATATTAAGCAACTTGCTTAAATGAAAGGAAACACCAGTAGAAATCCAGCCATGCAAGAAGGTATGTGGCCGACGATGCAAAGGAAAGAGACCACAAACACAAACGGTGCACGTGCAGAAATGCATAACACACATTGCACATCTTTCCACACTCAGGCGTTTGCGAAAACACGCAACTTCTCAAGTCAGTACAACAGGTGAACATCATGTGGAAGCTGTGCTTGTTATCTCTCATAACATTTTCTCATTATTGCTGTGCAGTGAGTTGTAAGGACTCACTCGAACACTTGCCAAAAAACACAGAGAACACAGAGCAGCTTTGATGATCTGCTCTGACCTTCCATTTCATGAACTGTTGGACTTCTCTCCTCGCAAAAGCTAAGAAAAACCCTTTGTGTCCTTTTTTTTGTGTGACCACAGTGAAAGGAAGGCTACATTATGTTAAAAAAAAAGAGGAACCATGGGATATTTTACACAAAAACGATGAAGCGGAGGGAACAGAAGCTGGAGTTACCGTGTGCAGCAGTCCTGCTCTGAAGGCCAAAGCCGCTGAACCTTGCTTTCCACTCCGAATGTAAGGCAGTCTCTTAAATCAGCAGGTCGCTGCAGGTAAAGTCTATAATATTCATTGTTTTATAACAATGTACCATTGAGTTTATCAGTATCACAGCCATGAGGTCCACCCTGAAGACTCAGATAACCGCTGTCATCCAGCAGTGTCAACGCAAGTGAAAGATAATTTGTGTATCCACGATACAATGACCGTATACAGTCTCAGGTCTATAGAGGCCTTTTGTCCAGCAAATCACGAAATGGGTGCGTACGTAGGTATTGTGGTGCATTTCCAACTATTCAAATGTTTTATATGTAACATACAGACCCCCAAGAGATGTCACAGAGAAAACAAATACCTTATTAGTGTGCACGATTAAGTGATTCGTTCACATGGTTTAATCATTTGTGACAGCAAACGCCTTTGGCGCAATGCATCCAGTCAGTCAGAAGACAACAAAGGAGACATTTAGGAGGCGCTCTGGAACCAGATCTGTAGTGTCATCAAAGTTCATAAACAGTCTCTGTAAAATATGTTGAAGTGATCTCAAAGAGAACATAGTACCTGTCCTCTCAGACGAGGTGAAGCTGTAGCATTAAAGCCAAACCATCCACAGTGAGGGTGTGAAGTGCAGGACACAATGGCATGAAGTTGACAAGTTGTACTGAACCAGATCTTGACTTATTAAATTGAGAGTAATATGACTAGTTCACACTTGTAGAAGATACAATTTTCAACTTGACTTTGTCTATTTTATTTTGTTGCCCCTGAACTTCCATACATTTAGGCTTCAACAGCTGATCAGAGCCTGTTAATTAAAGTCATGATTCTAAAGATTAAAAAGGATGCAATATGCGAACTTAACACCGACACTCATTTTACAAACATTAATAGTGAAGTAGGCTGAACAACCTCCAAGTAGGCTACTAACGTAAGAGAATCCTGTCGTGCCACAGAATGTTTTGAGTGTGTATCACCTTTTGGGCTCCGTGTCCGCACCCTGCTCAGCACAGCTTTGGTTACTATCCAGATAGACTCAACGTGCTGACAAACTAATCCAAAAATACCCAACGGAACCGACCTTACCATGAACCCCGGGGCCTCCCGAACGTCCTCGGTGGGGATGGTCAGAAGCAGGATGGCAACAAGTCCAAACACCAGCAGCGCGATGGGGACGACCGGGTGAGCGCAGTGCTGAGCCATGGAGCGCGAGCGTTCAAGCGCAGCTCCGATTCTGCGCCCGCTGGAAATTTGAGCGTCGACTTTTAATAGCGGCCAACAGGGAGACGTGGCTGGTGGCTTCCCCGCTGGCCCCGGCATTTAACACCGCCCGCCTCACGCTTCACCTGGTGCCTGCCTCCTGTTTTACATTTCACTTGAGATATCAAAGTATGAAGTGAATGTATGTTCCCCGCGCAGCCAAGCACTCCTCCGCGCGCCCGGAACCGTCTCCTCCTCGTCCAATGAATGAAAACAGCACCACGGCTACCGGTGCCATGGAGGGAAAAATGTGTTTTACCCGCTGCTGCTCATTCACATTCACCGGTGACTGAGGTTGGAGCTACAGAGTGTCAGACTAATCACTTTCTTGTTTATTTCAGAGAGGACAAACACATGACTCATAATGATTCAATCATTAATGAGAAAAGGGGGAGTGTCGTCTGGCAGAGGTCCAATTTGTAGCCTGTTGGACTGCGGTGCTGCAGAGCTGCTTGTTGTTTTAGTCCAGTATTTGAATGTGAATGGGTGTAGCTTGACTTGCAAATTGCGCCCTCATTTGAATGCCTAAGTACAACATGACGTTTTCACTGGAGGCATGTACTTTCTTTGTGCATGTAGTTGAATTCTTGTTTTTCCTTAAATTCTACTCTGATTCAGACAGTCTAAATTTAGCAGAATGTGTAATGAGTAATTTTGAAGGACCTTCTGAATATTGCACTTGAGCTATTCTTCACGTTCTTCACTATTCTTCACACTCAGGGTGCTCATTTTGATGTTTGTATTCTTTGCAATATGGTAGATATCACAAAATATATACTGTTAATGAAATTATGAATATAACATCTGAGTTTGTATAGGCCTATCTTCTGGAAGAACTGGGATGTAAATATACCTACCTCTATCTATCTAGCTCTGCTCTCTGTCTCTGCTCAAACGCCCGTAGCGCTGGGCTTTGAAACCAAGTTGACATATTGGCCAAACCGTGGAATTGATTAATTTAATTAGTTAACTTAAAGTCACTGCAAGGAACTTTCCTTTTGTGTTGATTTTGGCGGTCCCTGTGGACAAAAGTGTTAGTGTTTCCGAGCACTAGATTCCCTCTACAAAGCTTCTCAATTTACTGCAGCAGGGGTCTGACAGTCTACTACACGTAGTCCTGGTTCTGGTTCTCCCAGTGATGGGCCAGCAAGGCCTTCTCTGCTGGCCTAAACAGAATCACAAAGTTATAGCTATTTTATAATCTAATAATTTTTCTTAAATACACTACATGTATTATAATTTATAAAAATATTTTCCCCATTATCTTATGTTCTCATTGCACAGCTACTGTCTTCTTCAGTTGCTCTGCTTCCAGTGCAGCTTGTTTTAAGTAGAGCTTTCATCCAATCAGATTTCACCTCTGTGTCTCTAGGTAAGAAGAGAGGCCCGAGGCCTGCAGACTCTCAAGTGAATCCCTGTGCAGTTTAAGTGAATGGGGACCATATTGTTGATTGTCATAGTCTTCAACCAATCAGATCTTTAGTTTGACATGTTGGGCATATTCTTTGACGTGCCAGAGCCTTCTAGCTGGCCTACGTCAGCATTACGTGCAGCTCAGTTTTCAGGTGCAGTGCTGCAGTGAGGTGCAGCGTGCGCTGTGATTGGTCAGTGGGCGAGCACGTGACTATCGTGAAACGAAACTTAACGTAGCCAACAAAGCTTAGTCGGAGTAGTAAGAGTTCAAATTAAAATATATGGAAGAAATTATGATTTTTTTTTTGCATTTTGCTTGGTGTAGATTTTTATTTTTTTTACCTAGCTTTGTTTTTTTAACACTCAATGGCTGAAGGAGGAGAAACGGATTTGTGAGTTGGGATTTAACCGTGGGATTAAACTCTTTGTCAACAAAGAAAGGAGCATGGAGGTTGTCTTTAAGTGATCAGCATTTGGTAAGTCAACTGCGTTTGTTTTTTTACATCTATATCTGAATGGCCCGGTGCCCTCGAGTGTGTAGCAGAATGCGAGTTGCTGCTGTTGTTTTCCCGTTAAGCTGGTGTAGCGTAGCCTCCCAGAAGTGCGGTGCCTCAGCTTTTTTTGTTTTGTTCCGGTTCAGAGGTCACACAGCCCGTTGTCTCCTACGTGAGTGCAGAAAACATTATATTTTCCACAATTTAAGCTTCTGCATTTTCCAAATGCCCTAGTATTATTCGAACGTATTGTTCGGTTTGTAAGCCACGTACCGAATGGTTTAATACGAATACGTGTATTGTTACACCCCTAGAAACAAATAATAACCGTAGCTGTGGCGCCATCATGAGGTTATTAGGAGATGGTTCAGCTGCAGGACAGCAGTGAAGGCCCAGGTATAAAATGCACTGGATCTCCAGCAGAGACCTGGGGAGCAGCGAGGCAAAGCTCTGCTCCTGGCCGGAGGAAGAGATGCTATTGCCGTGCGCTGAGCTCTCCTCCTCCCACCGGCGAATCCTACTGCAGGTCGAATTCTGCAGCGAAGCCGTATCTGGGTCGATCTGTTGCGGTGGGCTGGCCGTTGTTGGAGGCCCAGCTGGAGTCTGAGCTGAGGGAGTTTCTCGTGAACCTGCATGATTTAATCGGATTTCACGCGGAATCCGACCCGGTGGCACCGATTACATACATAAAGAACAATTATACAGAAATAACCAATCTTCTTACTGATGGTGTCATTTCCTTCTGTCGGTCATATAGAGGCATCAGCAATATTTTGAGATTGTTTCATATTCAGTCCCCACAGACTGAGCTACTGCTGCCCTGGTGGAGGGTTCATACCAGTACTTACAATCAGGTCGTTAGAACCAATCAGCACACAGAATCACATCAATCTCTCTGACAGAGCGTGACAAAGTGTCGGTTGTGATCAGGGCAGAACGTCAATGGACCAGAACAAATGTCCATCCATCCATTTTCCTCCGCTTATCCGGGGTCGGGTCGCGGTGGCATGTCTCACCTGACAATTTCCTGCGACCCAGCTCTGCTTCTACAAGGCATGTCGTTAATTAACAATGACAGCCATGATTTAATTAATGACACATTTAATGAAAGATACAACTGATTGTGACAGTGACTGTGTCCTTGTGAACCCAAGATAACACTGGTATGGCTAATGAAAGAGTCATGCTGTTAACCTTTAGATGTGTGGGCTGTTTTAAAAAAATTACAGTTTTTAAATCGGCCTGAAGATTTCCTGTCCGTCCATTTCAGATCAACAACCTGTAGCACCTCCTGTCTTGTCTGCGGATGCAACATGACATTTTGGAGGTTTGGAGGAAAAACCTTTGATTTTATCACACTAGTCGGTTGGCTTTTACATACCATGGTAGCCTAAAATATGTGGAAGCAACATTAAAATAGCCACACACGTCTCAACTAACTGTGAGGCTGTGCAGTATAGGCTTACGTAAGCACAGCGGTGCTTTGAGCTAAATGCTAATGTTAAGATGCTAACATGCCCACAGGGACAGTGTTAATATGCTGATGTTTAGCAACCATCTTAGTTTTGCATGTTGGCATGCTAACATTTGCTAATAAGCAGTACACACAAAGAGCAGCTGAGGCCTAATATGAATGCAATGAAATCAAATATCATCTGCACATATTCATTTCTGCTATAATAAAACCTAGTTATTCAACTGCATGGTCACTCTTTTCATTTTAGGATGCATTAGGGTTTCTTTCTTCCAGTTATTCAAAGCGTCAGACACTCCATAAAACAGAAACACATTGCTGACACACTATTAGCTTAAAAATATGTTATCATCGCTAACACGTTAGTACAAATTGGCCTTAATTCAACGGACACATAATAATTCCATTGGACTCGTGTTTGTGTCCACTTGATGTCCAGTGTTCACTCTCATTTAAGCTCTATTTGGTGTCCAACAACTCCCGAGGGAAATATCTGGCCCACGTTGCTCGACCGTGTTCACCAGCCAAAGTGGAAAAGTGCAGCTGTTTTACAGTATATGAAGGGTTGGTATAACCACAGGTAGGAGTAGGCCATTCAGTCTAAAGGCAGACCAAAGAACCAAAACAAGACATTACACTGACTAAGTGTTCTGTGTATATGCATTATTCTTTTTGGTATGGTGTGTGCTTCCATTGTTTTGTTTGTAACTGTAAAGAAGCTCGTAAAATAGCAGTTGCGGAGGTGACATACAAAATAATTACTTACCTACTCCATAATTTGTGTTGAAATGATGGATAATTAATAATTCAAGTCATTTATCTAGCAGAAATGCTGATTATTCTTTCCTGTTTTTGTATCACTGTAAATTGAATATCTTGGTTTTGGACTGTTGGTTGTACAAATAATACATTTTATATCCTATACAATTAACTAAATAATGACAAAACAAACAGATTCATAATTAGTTGCAGGCCTAAAACAGTAAAATCACAGGATTGGTTAGACTTGGCAATGCAAGTATATTTTATTTACAGTTGTATAAACGGAATGATTCAATGCAAGATCTTTACTGGAAAAGGTAAGAAAAAGAAGTAATTCCTCCCTTAAGGGGTTTTGTGTTTGTGTGTGTGTGTGAGTGTTAGTGCATGCCTGTGTATCACAACTGTTGTGTGTGTGCGTGTGTATGAGTGTGTGTGACTAGACATTCTCAGTTGCAGTTGTAACACAAACAGTGCAATCTCCTCGACCCCGTCTACACCGAACCAGAATTTACATTTCATTCAACTCAGCTCAGCTCAGCTGAATGTACACAGCAACAACACGCCTCCAAAAGCAAACTGAAGCACTGATACTGCAGTAACACGTAAGCATGCATAGGCCAGAATGAGAACATGATCAGAAGCAAACCCTTGGTTCAGGTTTAGAAAACAAATTCAGTTTGTGTGGTTGTTTCAAAGTGTCATTATTTCTCGTACAAAGACGGTTTTCAAATTAAAAAGAAAAAAGGAAAAAAAAAAGACAATTGTGAAATCAAAACATGTTGTGGAGAAGTTATGTCTGACTGGTGTTTTACTGATCCTGTTCTAGTTTCTTGGTGGATCAATATCTTTATTTTACAGTTTGGTAGACGCCTCAGCATAAAGTGCTATGCAGTGCCAGAGACCGGACACGATGTCATAGTCTTTTCAATAAACACCAGTGGTTTCTCAGTTCCAGAAGACGGGGAAAAGGCCTGTTTTGACACCTAACCAAGACCGGCACACAAGCTCTGGAGCTAGGGCCACGCTTTCAATTCACTCGGGCTCCTTCGTGTAAAAGCTCGCCAGCGCTACGCATGGAAGGAGGTTTTGCACGAAAGGCCGAGTGCTGGTTGGACGAAAAACCTGGCCCTTTGATGCAACCCCCTTTACAGACTGGAAATGAGAAAGACTGCTGCGGCAGGAGAGAGGAAGAGAGAGGGCGTCCCCAAAAGCGACATGGCTGACCCATGAGCGTCTCGTCCATGTTTGGACGTAAAAACACCAGCCTTACTTTCATATTTCATATGTTCACCTGTTTTTAGAAATAGTTGTAAAGCTTAACATATTTTGATTAAGGAACTGAGTTCTTACGAGAAATAAAAAATAAATTGCATTTAGCAGATTGGAAAAAGATACAATTCAAACATCTACAGAATCTGGTATATAGCCTTCAAAATAACAGTTATCTATTTCATCATTCAGATACATAAAGCTCTTATTCACATACAAGCACACACATGCTTCCATCATCTTCAATGGTAAGATTAGTCATATCCTCATTATTAGTGTCATTATTAGTGCTTCTCAATGAAAGAAGCATCTTCTGAAAACCTTTTAAAATGTAGCTTAAAAACAGGTAGTTCCCATTAAAAACTATTCGATATCCACTGAAGCTTACAGTACGTCTTGTATTGCAGTATATGTTGTTGAGAAAAACTAGAAATTACTATGGTATCTAAGCCCTAATAAGTGATATGTTTAGTAAAGTACTTGCACCAAATCTGGTTAATCCGTAAACTTAACTAAACTAAACCTGGCTTGCTAAACTTATCAGTCAGGAAATTTCAAAGTAGTAAACATCGAACATTAAGTAAACTTCTGTGAGTAAAAGGACAAAAACAAGGTTAAATAAGTTGATAATATACAGAAGGAAAAGGTTGTATATGTGAGTCGGGTTGGTTCTTCTGTGCATGCCCTACGAACATCTAAGGCCAGGTAACCCCGACTTTTCAAAAAAGGTGCAAGTTCAGTGTTTTCAGATACTTCTTCAGCAAGCACTTTCCTCTCGAAGCTCCGTCGGCAGGCAGTGAAATGAAAGCTCCGGCTTCGACGGCGAAGGGAACGAGGAGACGGGTTCTCCCTCCCTCTCCCCGTCCACTTCCTCCTTGACTCGTCTCGTTTCCTCTCTCCCTCGGTGCCTCCCTCTCTTTTACACCACGGTACTGACAGACGGGTCAGACAAGTTGAGTTGGCCCGTGATGTCAGTGGGTGGGTACTGCTGCAGAGATGAAGAGAAATGGGGGGGGGGGGAAGGGAGGCACAGTCATTTCTTGACAATTGCAGCATTTTTGCAATGTTAGAATATTCATCCAAACGTTCATTTTCTTATTCTAAGAACACCTGTGCTTCATTTCTGCAGAAATTTAGAAGCAGGAGGGTTCTCTAACCCCTCTCAGGCAAACCTCACTTTTTGCCATTTTTTGTTGAATCTGTTCAGTTTGGATTGTTTGTAAAGCAGCTTGGTGGTGCCTGAGGTGGGTTAGTAGCAGACGTAAGCCCTAAGTCTAGACAACAGCAGATTGGAATCAGCCACCCTTTTTTTTTTAGGAAAAAAAATGGGTGATAATTTCCATCCATGGGTAAAGCAGGCAGCTCCTTTATCTCCCCACAGTCATCTTGTGCGCATGCAGACAGGCTGCGTCTCTAATTTTAGCATCTCACGAGGAGGAGGAGACGAATCTTTCAGGCCGATTTCAAAGTGCTGTTGTGCCGGACTCTTGCGTCCAGTCCCCGCTTCACTGTGCTTCTTTTAAAGCAGAGCGCGTTGAAGTAGAGGCGTCTACAATGCTGAGAGGGGAAAACAAGATCCCGATTCCATGCAGGTGCTTAGTTTCTATGGCAACAGTGATTTTGCCTTTCAGTCTTTTGAGTGTGGGGGATTGTGTGTGTGTGTGTGTGCGGTCTGACAGCAGTAAGCCATATTTTTGCAACGCTGAGTCTGCTAACGAGCAAAGAAATATAGAAACCCAATGAAACAATGACTGGATGTAAAAATAGTCAATTGCATCATGAGTAAGAGCTTGAAACATGCTGTTCTCTTCTGTAATAGCCTCATGTTTTGGAACACAGTGGGTGGAGTAATAAACTTGTTTACTGTGATTTCCAAAATGCCAATCATAATCCTGACCCACAGCGCTAAGTTGGGAAAAGCCTGTTTCCTAATTTCCAATGTGTAGAGAACATCCTTTTGTTCGTCAATGCCCTAAAAATGTACATTGCAGAACCAAAACACTGAAGAGTCTTGCCTCAGTGTACCCGTCTCAAATGGACAAATTTTTTATTGTTTTTGTTCTTTCTCAATTAAGCAAGATCTTAGGTTTGACGTGCCTCTCGCGTTTAGCTGATAGAGCCAATACATTCAAGCATTATGAGCTTCAGAAGCTGCTATGATGCAACCAACATGCTGGCCGATGGGGCGACATCCAGACTGACGAGTCAAAGGTCAAATCTTCTGGATGAAACTGGGGTTAGAGTGGATGTCCCTCATCTCCTTAACCCGCAAGTTGCATCATCATATGGCTTACAGCTCCTTATTGGGGGTCTCCTCACTCTTGTACCTTGAGGGCCCGCTAACAGCGCACCCTATTGGGGTCAAGTGGACCAGCAAAAGAGAGACACCTCACTGACATCACAACCACAGTTACTGGCTATAAAGCTACGTATTCAGTATGGTGATCCTTGTTAATGTGGAGCTACAAAGATGGTTTCGGCTACCGTTACTACAGCTATGACAGTTACAGTCGTCGGCATGCTTGCAGAGGGAGAGAGGAGCAGTGTGGCATGTGGGTGAGGGACACTGACACTCAAGTCCATTGATATCCATTAATATAAAAGAAGAACATTTATATAAAATCAAAAATAATGGTCGAAGACTGGGGATGGGAAATCTTTCAATTGGAGCATCTTTTTTTCATTGCGCTAAATCCTGTTTTATTTGAGCCATTTAAAAAATATGTATATCCACAGCTACAGGGCTTCGAAACCATATTGACAATGGTGATCCCACTCTTCTTCTCTTCAAACCAGACCAAGTCTATTGAGAAACCTCCAGGGGAGAGTACAGGTGGTTTGGTTCAAGAAACATCCATGATAAAAAAAAAAACAAGAGAAAGACAGGAGGTCAAATAAAAACACACAATAAAGTTTTTTACTTTGTGACCGTTAGCTTAGCTGCCTACATCTCCCCTGGGAAACACATTGAAAACACAATGTTGGTGCAGAGGCCTTTCTGTGAAGGTGTCTGTGCTATGTTGTTTTTTTCTCATGCCAGATTTGGTTAGCGACCAGCTATGTGTTGCGGAGCAGCTGGGCACAAACGACCGCGGGTCACTGGTTTGTTAGAGCACTCCGAGCTCGTGGAGTACAAGCTCCCGACCGCAACGGGCAGGGCTTTTCAACTGAACTGGAGGAAACCTGACACTCTCATTGTGCTGCAACAACGGAGTCAAGCAAAGAGATGGTGATTTAGCAAAAACAAAAGAAGAAAAGCTTGTATTTGTAACACAGTGAGAGTCTGAGGCGTCACAGAGTTTGTAGTTCGTAAAAAACAAAACAATATTTAAAACAGAAAAGAAGACTGTCATCGCCACCTGGAAATACACCCTGAAAGAGGCATGCACAGTTCAGACCACAAGGACACTGGAAAATAAATGGGAATTATGACAAAGAAAATATGACAAATCAAAAAGTAAATAGATTAATAGAAATCCATGAGTGCAATCCTGAAATAGACATGTTGAAAAGTAAGATAACACATTAGTTTTTTTCTTCCCAGGAGGACCGGCCATCACGACAACCTTGGAAATGGATTTTTGGAAAAAAAATGACAAAAACAACAGCGCATGCATTTCGAACCAAAAGCGAAACGACAGCGGCTGAAGAAAGCCAAAACGAAGGGAGTAGGGGGTGGGATTGGTGCAAAGAAACGATGGATATACAAAAGGATCAAGCAGTCAAAATGACAGGACACAAACACAAATATATCTTGTACGCTTCAGTACGGTACACACACCACAACGCCACCAACAGCACACAATCGCCAGAGTCCACGTCCAAACCAGAGGCAGGGAGGAAGAGCAGCCCAAGACAAAACACCACCGGCAGACTGCGTGCTTTTGTCCCCAACCCCCACCTCCAGAAGAAACACGCCACTAACCCCATCAAAACACCCTGCCCCAAAGAAATCCAGAGCCGAGCTCCTGGCCTGACCTGAGTCCCTGCACTGATGCCCTTTGGGCCTGTGGGGGACCTACAGATGCTAAATGGTGATGGCTGATTGATGGTGAACGGACAGACACGTGGCAGAGGCCGCGGAGCCGTGTGGAAATGGGTGAGTGAGTGGAACATGGGACTCCCTCGTGGTCAGACATGGAGATGTAGGCAGAGAGGACAGAGGAGGAGAAAGGAGAGGGGTGAGAGTAGAGACAGAGGAGGACGAGGAGGAGGAGAGCGAGGGGAGAATAAACAGGGGAAGATGTTGCTTCTTCGTCTCCTTACCGTGTCTTTGGAGGACCTACGTCTCTTGATGCTGGAGGCCAAGGTGGTACTGATGGACCTAAAAGAGGCTTTCTTTTGGGGGTCGGGCTCTGCTCTACCACTTTTCCTATCCTAAAATGAATATATGTAGAAACATTATTCATGTCCTTTTGGCTGGGGTGATAACCGTGGTTTTCAGTCTCACCCTTCCTCTCTTGCCACCAACCACCCGCCACCCCAGTAAATCACCTTATTTTACAACATCTAAATAGAGGGAGGGTCCTTGTGAGAAAGACTACAGCGTTTGGAAGTGTAAAAATGCGCCAAGGGGGAGAAAGAAAGGGATAAAGCCTGTTAGATGTGAGAGTGGAGGCAGTGTGTTCAGTCTGACATGAGGGCATTCGTCTACATTTTTATGAGACATTGCCACACTGGGTCTGCACAGGATGACATGGCAGTCCTCTAAGAATGTGCTGACACATTCACCCGGCCCCAAGGAATGCATTGGAATGAGGGATGACTAGTAAAGATGTCAGTGGGTGTGATACCTATGTTGTATTCTGCCTGCATGCTCGCTATGGCCTGAACACACAGTTGCAACTTTCTCATCTTAACACACAAGTGATCTTACATTGTAATTAAAACAACTAAAGAGGTATGACTTTACAAAAGTATCTAGAAACTGCTCTGTACTCGGTTGTGACCGAGGTCAGAGCTCTGGAAGACATTTAGAAATGCATTGACATTTAAATAAATAAAAAGATATGGCAAAATAAAGGAAGAGTCAGTTTTAACCGTACCCTTACAAGACGGCGAACCAATTTGGTGCCCTCCCTCCCTCATACCATCAGAGTGCCCCACAGCTACTCTCAGCACAATAACTGGGTGTTTGTGTGCAAAAAAATAAATAAATAAAAACTCATATTAAGGTATTCTTACATCCTGAGTCTCTAGAGAGGAAGAGGGCTGCATAGGGGGAGAAAAGGAAAATAAAATAAATTTCCATCCTTGATCGTTATTACTTTAAAGATGATCCTTAAGCAAAAGCCAAGGGAACTAAAAAGGGCGCATAGTTTAAGAAAAGACTAGCAAAGCAAACATCCACATCCAAAGCCAGGCTGGTATAAAAAGTCGAGAAGCTGCAGTATCGGAGGCCACTACAATGCATATCAAAGAGGGAAAACAACAGCGACAAAAGTCAGTAATTGAAGCCCATTTAAAGACATTATACCTGAAAGTGGTATAATGGAAATTCACCCCACACACAGGGAATGGGATGGAGAATGAGGAAAAAGTGCATTAGAAAGAAAAAAGATTTTTAAAGGAATGGTGATTTAGCTGCAAATCATATTCTTAATCAAAGTCAAAGTGCAAAAAAAAAGGTTTGCAACTCTGTGTGCTTAATTTCATAATGATCTGAGCAGATGGAGGCTAAAGGGTGCTATTTCTAAAATAATAAAGCGCTCTAAGGTGGATGTTAGTAAAGTATAAGTGAAGGATGAGCGAGTAGTTGCAGGGAGGGAGGCCCTTTAGCCGGGCGGGGCAGTGTGGTGTGAATTTCAACATGCCAAAAGTTTTATGGATGGAGAGAAGGAGGTAAAAAAAGGGGAGGGGGAGGAACAAAGAAGTAAGTAAACACAAAACAAATAGCATGACAAATCAATCCTGGCCAGTACTGGCCCCCGCAGTACATCCTTTTTCATCAGGTCACATGACTAGGCACTTTTTGGGTACATTTGTATCACCCATCAGCCCGCCAACCAGCGCTTTCTCTCTCAAACCCCTAATGACTCGATATCAGGTGGCGAGCAGGCGTTAGCTGGCGTGGACGATAGATGAGAGCTGGTAGGGGAATGATGGGTGCACGGCATCACTCGATTTTTATTGCAGGTGACGGTAAGTAAAATACTTTTCCTGTTGGAAGATGACATCTCATGTTAGTAAATGGAGGAAGTCAGACTGTGTGCCTCTAGGTTGGTTCAGGAAAAAAGAAATCAATGCCTCAGTGACGTCACTTCTCTTCTTTTAATCTTCCCCCCATTCTTACAGTGCAGTCCGGCCGCTCTGAGCCCTGATGAGGTTGCTACGTACGCACAGTCCCGGCATGCTGGACCATCAGATGAAACATGGCACGGGGCACGCACGGCGCACCCCAGCCGCCGCAGTGCGTCCTCATAATACACCATAATCACCATCACGCAACAGAGGGTTTCAGTTGCGTTCAGACGGTGCACTTCTGAGTAACATCTGTTGCAAAATGGAAAGCTGAAAGCCAGAGCATGTAGCCTCCCAGTGATGTCGTGGTCAATCAAATGAGAAATCAGCAACAATAAATTGAACATATAGCAACATAAATCTGTATGATGTAAACAATAGTTAGTAGTAGGCTATTAAGACCACAGTGCAAGATATAAAATATTTGAAGCTTGCCAATATTAGCACATTACTGATATAGTGGCATCAGCATCAATGTTGAGGTGTGTAAAAAATAAATTGTAGTTTTGAGTGACTTTTTATTGCATGTTACCAATATTAATGTATTCAAATTTCTTTTAATTTAGATTTTTCAAACCTGGCTTCATACATTTTCATGTGTCAGACTGGTCTCTGTAATCCAGGCACAGCTTTGTAACGCTGAAAACACACCAGGTGGTGGCGAAGTGCAGCTCGCTGCAAATAATGAAAATAATTCTGAGGGAGGGAGGCGTGTTCATGGTGTTACTTCATGTGCAGAACGTTTCAATTGCTGTATTTGTTTTGGATTGTCGGATGTGTTTTTTCTCGTAATTGGCATAGTCTCTGAACCTGAAGCACAAACGTTTTTGCGGTGCTGTGGCGCGTTTGTCCTTGTCGGCCACCGTAGGTAGCTGCTATGGCTGAAAAACGATGCCACGAGAGCTGCGAGAGTGAACAAAAACAGTAAAGTGACGGACTGTCTTTTATTACTATTTATTATTACACATCTGTCACAAAAGAGACAAAATCGTATGTTAAGTTTATGTGACTACACAGTACATTTGTTAAATACTTGCTTTGTGTAATGTAAACTATGAATTTAGATCATAAAGTTTTAATCAGCCTCAAAAAGGCTGAAATGATCTTACCAAAAAATGAGATGAAGTAGTTTCACCCCCACTACATCTCTGTGGCTACAGCTCCTTAAAGAACAGCATAGGCGTGCAATTCTTACAAGGCATGCACCTTTATTTCTTTGTAAAGCAATGTGGGAGGGACGGTTGGTGTTGTTGTCGTTAATGAGCTCATATTTCAAGGGCTTTTGAGCATTGACAGCATAACGAGGATGAGTTGAGATGTAGTACATGAACGAATTTGAGTTAGTCAGAAGTGCACGTTCTCTTAGGTTACGTCTCTGTGTTTACAGGTATGTGGGTGCACAGTGCACAGTGCTTTTGCATAGTGCACGGACCCGAGGCCGTGTAAGCATATAATTACATACAAACACACGCACAATCAGTCAAAATGATGTCAACAATGGGACCGCAGGTTTCAGTGCTTGCCGTACTAAGGAAGGAGGAGGCCACATAAACTGTGAGCTTAGATTTTCCATCGTGATGAGCGTGTGTCGCACATTAAGCTGTCATTTTTAATTTGTGGGAAATTAGATCACGTAATCCCATCAGTGCACCCAAACAGTATAAATAATATTCACGCCGAACAGAACAGATTGTATTGGCTCGACTTGACTTTGCGGGCTCCCTCTGCACTCCTTTGCATGAGACCCCATTACGGCGGTTCTATTTAGGGCGGTGAAGACCGTGTGTGGTCCGTTGATTTAGCCGGAGGGGCCCACAGGGACGGTCGATGAGCAAGCATGAGCATGCATGAGCCATCTTTGTTCAGCGGTGCAGAGAAATTAACGTGATCGTTGCTGACATGGAGCTGAAACGTGCTGCTCTGCGGGCAGTTTAGTGTGTCCCTCTCCTTTCTCAGTAATGATATCCCCCCCCCCGCTCCCTGCATGCATTCGCCTGCTGAACGCACATCCACGTGACGACACTCACGACAGTTACATACATCGATCAGGTCGATGGCAGACACTCTCGGAAGGACATCGATTTGCTGACAGGCACATGTGATTTCATACCGTTCCTTCCTCCAGCCCTGCTGTCTCTATTCAGCAGGGCCCAACACTGAGCTTTGGTGCAAGGTTTACAGTGACAGCCCGTAAGCGCAGTTCACAGTGGGACATGGTCGTTAAACGTGCTTCAACCTCCGAGCGATCCAATCAGGGAGTGAAACCATCAAGAATAAAAGGAAAGGAGGGGTGTGTTGGCGGTGGAGGCGCGTCACAGCTGCGTTTGATTGCATTAGATAACGTAAGGCAAATCATGTTCTTTGTCAGCTGAGTGGAGGAACATACTGCTTTATTGCAGCTCAAAGAGGGTTGGTTCACTCAAATGACAAAGCAGTAAAAATAATTTACTCCGAGTAGTAATTACCATGCAGATGTCTTCGATTCAGATTCAATTCTACTCACCTCAAATTGTATTGGTTTTGAGGCAGGAGTTAGGCACATTAAACCAAAAGTATCTGCATGGCTAGATACCACCTAGGCAAGTCAAACATTTTTTGACTGGCCCTTTAAATTGACACCTGATTCTGATTGCATCCTGAATAAACTCCATATTTTGTGTCTGCATTATGGACACTGCAGTGGAGACATATTGCACACTGTAGCATTTACAGTAATGCTGACATACTGGGAGAGTCGATCCCGGGAGTGATTGGGCCAGGGCATTGATTTTAGTCTTTATGCTCTATTTGCATTGTTAGCTCCTGGCTGTTGTTTTGTATGGCCTTCAGACTGAAGGCCATCAATGATGAAGCGATCAAAGTACATCAACCGGACCGTAAATTATTGTTATTATTGTTTTCACGCGAGGACATTTGCTCCTTTTTTTACGTTAGCTTTCCATGTCCACGTCATCTGACCTTATGAAGAGTATAAGCACCAGAGCAGCAGCTTAAAGAATGCTAGGTCATGCCATGGATGTGGGAGGTGAAGTTTTAATTTGGATGTCCATCACCTCGGAGGGTCACAAGGGTAATCGTCCTACTGTTACTCTATCAGCGAGAGCTGGCATGGGGGGTGGATATGGCTCTGCTACTTAGCTACATACTAATGAGGGGGTCCCGACCACAGCTTGACTTCCAGAGGTCTCCTGAGTGTCCTGCAGGCACACACAAGAGACACGTTGGCCTCTGGGAACTGTTAGGATCTACACGGTGGCCACTGAGGATGCCTTACAGTGCACAAAGGCATCGGAAATCTCGCTTTTCTCATACGGTGATGTGGCAGTCTCACCACCACTGATGTGCAAAAATGAAAAGCTCCCAAAAGAGGCAGAGAGACACTCTGTCGGCTCTCTTGCCGCCCCAGCCTCAGCCATTCCACCCTGGGTGTGAGCGAGCAGAGGGGATCAATCCTACCTGCAGGTTCTTCCTCCAAACATTGACCGCCGCAAAGGCGAGCTGCATCTGCTTCCTGCGGGCGTCTTTATGCCGCTTATAGGCGATTTCAATGAAGATTAGGAAGATCCCTGCAGCTATTCCTCCTGCCACTAGCATGAAGACCCCTGTTGGTAAAGGACAGACAAACAGACAGAGAAGAGAGGTGGAGAAGCGTGAGCTGCTGGTCTACAACCTCGCCGCGCCCACCGAGCATGAATGCACGGTCTGCCCGTCCTGCTCAGCGGCAGCCCCTCTTTCTTTTCCAAGCAGCTGCGACCCACACAATATTAATGGAAGACCACAACCGCACATAGCCACAGCACAAGATACCGTACAGCACACTTCCACAGAGCACCCACGCTGACACTAAAACAATGATTTTGTAAAGGTATTGGACAAAAAAGGGCTACAGTACCTTACCACTGCAGTTTTTGTCCAATCACTTTTAACGCTTTCTCTACGCCTTAATGGACCATACCTGCCATGTTTTCAAAGGTGAGTGTGGCTGGGGCATTGCTCCGTGAGTCACACTCCTGGTATCTCACCCAGGTTTTATCTAGGTCTTCCATGAAGCCATTCTCATGAGAACTGCAGGGGGTTGGGGTTGGTGGGGAGAGAGGTGACAAAGTTAATATGCGCCGCGAATACGGCGGAAAATCCGAGCCGCTCACTCCCAGAAAGCAACAAAAATGAGACTGAGACAGCAGGACAGGTGTACTGACAGACAGACAGACAATAACTGGACAAAGACGAACACACAAGAGAGGAGCAGGAGAGGGGAGATACAGAAACAGTAAATGTAACATAAGGCAATGTATTGAATAGATATGATTGTGATTTATTCATAAATGGTCAGTGACCGTGAAATCATATTGACAAGAAACCAACAAAAAAGAAAAAAGAAAGTCATACGAGTAATGTAGCTTCGGCTGGGACAGACCTGAGAATGGCCAGGGACACATTCTGTTTCCATGGGCTGTCCTTGCGCATGCCAATGCCAAAGCCCGAGCGGAAAAACAGCTCTCCCGTGGTCACCAGGTCGCACTTCTGCGAGGCCTCAAACTCCAGCACCGCAGAGTCCCAGATGAAAGCATGCAGCTTGCTGTGGGGGAGGGGGAGGGAGGAGGGAAGGGGGGGAGGAGGGAGGAGGGGAAGGAGGGGGTTACGGTGCAACAGTACAATGATTTACATACACATTTACGGCTCCTACCCCTCTCTCTCTCTCACACACCAGATCGTGTGTGTCATTCAGCGTTTACCAGCAATCTCTACCGCTGCTTATGGCCCAAATGAAATCCAATGCCAGATGGGTGAGGGCACGTCCCCCAATTGGATTCCACCCATCTCAAAGATGTTCGTCTGGGTACAACCTGAAAAAGGGTGCTCCTCCACTCAATGTTAGCTTAACCTTACACTGGTGCCAGTGCTGTTGACACATCCACACCTGCTCTTGTCCCTGATGTCTGGCGTGGCTGGGCGATGGGCCCGGATCAGTGGGAACACCGCAGTAAGTCCTGCCGCTTCCGCCTGGCCCAGAGGTCCATGACCCTCACCCCACTGAGCTAACTGAACTGGCCCTGGTCTGTGTGTCTGATAGGTCGAGCAGCCGGCCGACTCGTGCTCTGGTCGGCCCGGCCTGGCCGAGACTCACTTGTCACGCACGGCCTGGATAGCCTCGGCGGCACTCTCATAGTTGTGCTTCTCCATGTGGCGGTACATGGTGCTAAGCTCCACCTGCCGCCGAAAATAGATGTCCACGGAGCTCTGCTTCACCGTGGCGTAGATGAACTTGTCGGATGGGTTTCTCAGCTTCATAAAGAGACAGGGACAAGACTCAGTTGAGTAATGACTACTTAATTTTAAAAGGTATTTATATTTTTTTATGTAGATAAAAATGTTGTTGTGTGGTACCATGGTCTACAATGATCCTGCACTCACCCTTGGGTCGTTGATGCCGGTGATACGCTCCTCAGGTCGGTCCAACACCAGGAAGGCAGCCAGGTTGGCAGTATAAGAAGCCACAATGATCATGGCAAATCCGGCCCACACCATACCCAGGATTCTCGCTGAGAAGCTGCGCGGTGCACCTGTGTGGTGAGTTCAAGGTTCAGGTTTTCAGTTCAGTAACTTCCAATGTCTAATTGGATAGTCATGCAGGGTAGTTAGCTGGATACTGCTAATAACCCATAACACTGCTATTTCTGTTACAACAACTACTGATGCAACTGATCATTAACTTATACATTACAGTTTTGATAAATTATAATCAACCCTTTGCTCGCAGATTAAAAATCACGTAACTTTTGCAAAGAAATGAAAATACAGCCCTCTAAAAATACCAGATATGAAAAGGGAAACTGGAAGACAAATGAAACAAGCCAAGGCAACAGGTATAAACTGTTAGAATATGAGCTGTATCACCGTCTTTCTTTGCAAAATGTGATTTGAAAGCAATTAATGTCTCATCCTCAAAGAAAAACATGACAGAGAGGCATCGGCTGGAGCCACAAACGCCTTGATTTTTGTCTTTATACTACCGCAAAACTGTAAAGACCAAAGTACTCGACAGCATTACAGTGTTCTGGGAAAAAGGCAACATTTACGAGTAAATAGGGGATGATTTAGAGATTTACATTAATTATTATTTATTTAATCTCACCTTCCCCTATTCCAGAGTTCAGCAACACTCCCCAGGAGAACCACATAGCAGACGATAAGGTGAGGGCATCTTCTTCTTCCTCTTCACTGTTTACTTTAAATCTTCCAAACGGGCTAGAGGGAAGAAATTGGGTGGGTTGCAGAAGATAAAATGAGAAACTGCAGAGAACCTGTAGGTGGGACCCCAGGCAGGGGGGGGGGAAGGGAAGGGGAACATGAGCGAGCAAAGCAAGAGGGGAAACAAACTGGGAAAGAAAAGAGACAGAGACGGCGGCACAGGGACAGAGCGGTGGGATGGTTGGAGCCAATCTTCACCTCTGTCTGCCTTCCTGTCCACACCGAGGGAAGATCTGCAGCGCTCGGGGGTGCATGTACACACATGTACGCACACATGCATTCGCTGATTCAGTCATGAGTCATGACACACACATGGGCACAAGCATACACACACACACAGGTCCCCCTTGTACCTGAACCGGTCTAGTAGGTAAAGCATCACCGCCACCACATGCACCGAAAGACCCACCAGAAGCCACAGCGTGCTTTGGAACGGCTGCATGAACGAGTCCAGCGTACTGCGAGGGATTTCCTGAAAACACACAACGCAGTTAGTATTCGATTGATAATCAACAGCTTCGATGACCTTACGTTTGCATATTATAGAGTGAGATGTGTCTGTTTCAATGGTTATCTGAAGTTTTCAACCCGTGTGTATTTTTACATATTTGCTGACCATTTTGCCTCTTGAGATTTGCTTGAGTTGTGTAGTCAATCCCAACAAACTTCAAGGTGGCATTCATTTGTGTTAAAAGACACATGGTCATGGCTGACTTACTTGAAAATTCAGCACTGCCTCATAATAATAATAATGGACAAAAAGGAATGAGCACAGTGTGCTAAGAGATTATTATTATTTCAATAAAATATGTAAATGAATGAAAACGAATTGATACCTGGAAATAACACAGTGGATATTAAGTACAACTCCGCAGTGGTTGTTTGACTCCATAGAGCACCGAATGGGCTAGAGGTGGACACTTACCTTTTTAACAAGGATGGTGAGGCCTTGATATTTAAAGGGTTTGGAGAACTCGATGTACTGGGCTCGTTCGTTGTTTATAGTCAGTGGGGCTACAATCATGTCAGCCAGGCCCCCCAGGAGCTCTCCCATCATGCCATTCCACTCTTTCTTGTTACTGTTGTTCACCTGAGGCCCCAAAAGGAAGGTGTTAACATGAGAATCAGCCATCAACCTGCTGTCGTCTAGACCACAGAATGTTTCCAGGTGTTAAGGATTTGGGTTAAGCCCAGTGGGGATAGAAGTTCTTGGCGTGCTCCTCATCTTTAAAACTGTCTCTGTCTTACGTAAGGGAGCCTGCTTATTTTCTCTAATTGATAAGATCATGCATTCATGCCAACAGGATAGGCCTTTTCTGGGTTAGAGATGAATGTGTTCACAGAAAAAATCTTTTGAGATAAAAACAAATGAGCTGAAACTTGCTATAAAGCTCTGTTAAGCCGAGGGGAGCTGCAGATTCAGGTGATGATTCTCTTACAAGTCATTAAAAGCACCCCCTTTAACGTTGTGACATTGATTTTCATTGTCATTTGAGGTATAGCCTTTAAGCTATTGTGTGAATTGATTTTAAGTACAGGACTATTATGTTTTATTGTTCACCCATCGAAATGATGAAAAAATATTGATCCAGGATTTGAAATTAAGCAACGGTTACTTACTGTCAAGGTAAAATAATAAAACAATATAATATATAAAGATATTACTGTAAGCATACTCTCTCCATTCTCCAAAATGATTGCTATTCGTGATAATAAAATTCTGATGATTATTCTTTCATCTACAAGAAACCTGATTGGACAAGCCTTAACCAATGGCCAAACCCAGAATGGTTCATGTCATTATTCAATTCAAAGCACCATGCCACATAGTCCTAACACGCAGGTTGTGAACGGACATAATTTATAATATAACAAACTTAATAGCCTGCCAGTGTGTGATGGGTAGTCCATGATGTTACTCAACAAATGTTAGCCTAAAAACGACTAACTTAGAAAATATCCCACCTTTATAACTGCCAACAAATCCACAATTAGCAACATTAGCTAAGCTAGCGTAAGCTTAAACATGTTAGCTAAATGGTTGCCATAAGCTAACGGTTAGCTAAAAGTTACTGTGTTGTAAATATATAGGTAGGTTAGCAAGCTGTTCAGGGACGATGTCATCTCTGAATAATCAGCCGATTTGTATGTGAGCTGAATCTACTTGTATTTTCAAATTTGCACTGGTGCCCGCCAGTGGCGCCGCCAAGGGTTGGCCATGGGGGGGCACTGCCCCCAGATAGACCAGCACATTGTGAATCTCAAAATGTTAACAGTATTGTTATTAGTCCATGGACCTGCTTTAATTAGTTACATTAACTTTAAAATAAGAAACCAAAGTAGCCAATATCAGTTTACGATTCCTTAACTATTACATTGTGATGGGTTTTGGTTTTGGCGGGCCACCCCAAGATTCTCTGTAGCCCGAGTCTTTCCACCACCAATTAAAACAAGCTGGGGGGCGCCACTGGTGCTCACTTGGCAACCCTTTTAATTGTGTCCATATGTGACTTATATTGCTAATTAAAGCAATTTTTTTCATTTACTCTGTGTCAAGGCTACACAACCAGAAACCTGCTTGAGGTGAGACTGAAGTCAGAAGGAGAAGAACTCCATCACTGACCAATAAAAATAAAGTTTTGAAGTATCCTGTTTGTTTTGTTTGACACTACCATACTTTTACTATGGAGATATTCTTCTTTTTTCTATGGTAAATTTTCAAGTGGGCTTCATGTGATATTATATTCCTTTCACGTTGCAACCAATTGACACTTCCAAATTCACTACAGCGCTCATGCTGATTGCTGCTCGTCTAATCCCTTTAGCGTGGACATTCAAAAACTGACACCAGCTCACTGACGATGTTCAAGTTCACCTGCTGGACATTTGTTATCTTTGGGTCTTTGCTTTATGACTGCTTATTGCTTCAGCTCTGAATTGTAAGTGAGATCGCTACTGTTAGTGGGGTAAAAGATTCAAAATATTCAAGCTGTGTAACCTATGGAATGTGAGGTAACGCGTGCAACCTGTGCCTCATGCAAAACTACGACAAACGTGGCCTTTGAATGCAAAACTAACCCGCTCCTGAGTTCCGAATTTCCCATCGGCCACCAGATGCACCTCATAGGTGAAGTTCATGGTCATAGCCAACTTGATGAGGAGATCAACACAGAATCCATAACAACATTGGGGTACAATTGGACGTCCTGTAACAAAACCAGCAACAGTTACAAGTTACAATCACTCTTGAGGAAAAACGTTACGTTTTTTTTTTTGTTTTTTTTATCCAAAAGCGGCGCACGTAGACTGAACGAAATGCGTGACACACAGCAGACGACCGCACACAGTCACGGCATACAGACCAAGCATATCCCAGCATCCCAACAACCACTCACTCTGAATGGCACACTCAGCTACATGCATACATATATAGATACCTACTGCATATATATGTATGCATCTCCAGTGGGTGTTTGGCGGGTGCAGTAAAAGCACAGTGATAGTAGAAACGTCCCTGATAGGTTACCTGGGATGGTCTCATTGGGCCCAGTGCAGATAACCTTTTTAATTAAGACTCCGTTTAAAGTCATTTCCTCCTTGCATGTTCCGTCCAGCTGAGTGGGTTTCACATACACAAATGGCTCCTGGTGTATCGTCACTATCTACAACAGACGGGACAGAAAGCTGTTTATCACACAGTAAGAGATGGATCCGTTCCGATCCTGATTTCAACGAGAGAGAGAGAGAGAGAAAAAAATGAATACAAATTGGAAGAACCCAGCAGATACACAAATACCCAACAAACTCCCAGATGCACATGGACGCACAAAGACAGATAGATGAATGTAAAACTAACTGACAAGGATACAGATGAGACGGTCTTTGCAGGCCTGTGACAAATTTGAAGAGATAAAAGTCATAGCAAATATATCACCGCTGCCCTTAAGAGCATGGATTATCTTCACTCCCCCTCTGAGGAAGAAGCGTCAGCGCGAGTGTATCAGCCCGGGTCCCGTACTCGATCTGTGTGGACAAGAATGTCACATTGCAGCAGCAAAGTGAAGGCACCCTACCTTTAATCGAGTGGACATCTGGAAGCCCTGTGGTTTCTCCGTCTCTCCTCCGGGCCAGATGATCTTCCGCTGATTGTTCATCACCACCTGCAGGGATGCCGCACACACACACACACACAGTATCACAGGTGAGCGCTGACAGATGGCTTGCTGCTGATGAGGCTCCGGCACTAGTGGGGGAGCATCACTAATGAGTCAGCTTTATATAAGCACAGCTCAGCGGTTCTTTCATCTACTTCATCAAGACCTCTGACTTCTGTATCATACCTGAAGGGTTTCAGGAACTTATTATTATCACGCCTATCAGCAGTGAACAGAGGTGCTGATCCTCACAGTCTGCTATTTGCTGTGTTTGCATGGCTGAATGAATATCCAGCTTTAACCACAAATGAATGAATCATTTGGCCGAATAATAGCAACATTTTCCCACAGCTTTCATCTCAGTCTTCATCAGCAGAGGGAGTTTGCTCAGTTGCCGTGGAGTGACTTTTTATTGAGGTTGACACCCAGAAACATCCCGAACACAGCACAATGAAAAGAAAAGGGGTCTCTGCAGATACAGACACCACCACACACTGCTAGTGGGTCATAAGGGATGATTGCGAGGGATTCTTTTTGTATCAGTCTATACAGTTTTTAAGGGGAAAATCCAACTCATTGTGCCTTTAACTGTATTCTACTGTAGATAAAAAAGTGGAGATGCATGTCTGGTACGAAAAAAGATAATTATGTACAATGAGTAGATACAACTTACATGTGGGCAGAGAGTATAAAATAAAGAATGGACTTAAATTCCTATGAATTTGCTTAGTTACGTCAAATAGGCCGGAGCTGTCCGTCAGTATACCTGTGTTCCATTGTATATGCCGACTTGAATGAGTCGACTCTTCTGGTAGTTGAGTATACTGTAATGGGCGTACTTCCTGTCTCCGTCGTCATTGAACTCCACGCGTCCTGTGAGGCCCTCTGGGTATTTAGATGACATCAGCACCCTGTGGAAAGATGATAAAAATGATTAATTTGTGTGAATGGGTACACACGTGTCCATGCATGGATGTCGTTCGTCATTAGGAGTGTCACAGTGCATTTTACTGTGTATCGTTCAGCGAAAAAACTGCATGATGTGTGAAATGACTGATTCACCACATATTATGAACAAGGCTGAGCTGTGGTTGTTTGGCTGCGATGATATCTGCTGTTTTTGTTACCACATCTGTTTGGGAGCAGTGTGTTTCTTATCTGCTGAGAAACCACCCAAGTGGGTCAGCCGAAACTCAGTCACTTGTCACTAGGAAGTGACAAATATAGAGTTTCTAGAACATTCTGGAAAACCTGATGGACCTGTAATTCTGTACGGCAGCTTTACAATCAAAACAAAAACTAAAAAACCTTCAGGGGCTGAAGGGAACTGCAGAGATGACTTGTCTGTGGTATTTAACACTCTAAGTGCCTCATTTCACATAGCGCTTCTGATCAATTGTTAATCTAAATATACTGATTAGTATATTTACTATATTTATATATTTATATAATTAACCGCTTTAATGGTATTTGAAAACATGCACAATTCAGACTTAACATAAACTGACCAAAGATAATTTGTTGTGTTGAAATCCGCTGTTCTTGAACTGAGAAGTCTCGATCTGATGCCATTTGGCTAAATTAAGTCGGACTTAAGTTTAAAGGAGCAGTGTGTAGGATTTAGTGACATCTAGTGGTGAGGTTGCAGATTGCAACCAACTGAATATCCCTCTGCTCACCCCACCCTTTCCAAGTGTTCCCTTTGTAGATATGAAGGGCTCGTTAGGTATCAAAAACAGTGGTTCTTAGTTTAAGGTGATTATACACTAATGGAAAAATCTTTCCTTCTCTGCCAATAAATCCCCCAAACCTCTACACACTGGACCTTTAAGTTATTGGTTTTTGAGCCAGTTTCCTAAGAATATTTCCCTGGCCTCGTAGTTAGTAAATACTAAACTAAATGTTAAATGTAGTGGTCTTGAGGTTGAAAATAAATATGTCCTTGCAACAAAATAATCAGAAAAACGGTTGGGATCCAGCTATATCTTGAAGCTGCTTGCCATAATAACGTAATAATGTCTCAACAAACCATGCATTTTAAAGATTATCACAACTTTATCAGCTATAACCACAAAGAAGTACTGTATTGAAGCTTACCGTTTAAAGAGTGGCCCTGTTTTCCAGATGTTGGTGTTGCCCACACATCCTCTCGGGGGCTCTGTGATATTCTCCTTCTCAAACAGCTCCTGGATGGACTGAGCCACCACAGCCACCGCATCATTGATATGGGCTGACTCATTCTTCCCGTTGATGAGCTGGAGGCCGATCAGGCCTGGGACCAGGCCGACAACAAAAGATAATCACTGACCTGAGCAAACTGCAGCCTCTCAGGAACCTTTTTGCAATACACAAAGTGTAAAAAAACTTATAGGGGCTTCCAGTTTAGACATCCTGAATAAAGGTCAGACAGCTGCTGCATGATCCATCATCATTGCCCGTTAATCTCGGGGAAGATAACCAAGAAAAATTCCACATCGTGTCATTTATGAGATGAGGCAGCAGAATAAATGGATCATTTTGTTGATGTTGCCACTGATGACCTTTTCACAGCATGTGTAAAGAGTCCCTTGAAGTTGGATCTTTTCTTTTTTTTTCTGCCCTACTAGCTAAGCTTTGGGAATCAGCACAGGCAACGCATTATTTGTGTTAGGAACAAAACAAACAAAAAAAACATCAGACCTAAATTTAAACAAAGCGACAATCCAACTTCAGCTAAGTTTTCTGATTGCAATCAGGTCCGTCAGACTTGCAGACTCCTGGAAGAAGCTGCAGTGGAGGCGGAGGACACTGGACATGGACAGGACAACAAACGCTCTGCAGGGGTTGGTTGTGTGAGAGTGCCCGGGAGACGGGGGGGGGCGGGGGGGGGCATGTGACGTTTGTCACCACAAAGTGATAAAATATTGTGAGACACTTGTGTGAAACATAAAAATAAAAACCCAGGAACAGAGACAAGAAAGGCTGTTGTAGCTTACCATTCTATCAGTTATGTGTTGTAAAACTCTTCCTTTGTAATTCATTAGAAATCAGGCATTAACATGGCAGATTAGCACATTGAATTTATCTTTGGATAATCCAGGACATACACATTTAAACTTAAAGTGTACTGCAGATACACGGCCCATTTAAACCTTTAAACACATAATGCTTAAACGTTTAAATGCTCAACACACAACAAGCAGTTATAATCATGTAATGCATCCATCAATTAATCCCTCTAATCCTGTGTGTGTTATGATGGGCGTCTCAGTAAAGCCAGGGGTTAACTCGTATATTCCCACTGATCTCTGCTGGATGAACGTACCGTCTGGCGCCTCGCTCAGGGCTTTACCCGACATCTCCCGCTCGCCCACCAGCCACACGTACCCCGAGCCCGTCATGTTGAGGAAGCGGGCAGCCTTGTACACTGCGGCAGCGTCCTCCTCACTGGAGTTTGACAGAAGATTGTGTGTTTGTTTTTGTTTCACATCACAGCACACTGAATGAAAGTGAGTGGAAGAAGTTTTAGGTTAACTTTTAGGAGTGATTGATTTATTCACAGTAGTTTGGGGTTGGTGTATGTCCAACTGATTACAGCAAATTACTACAGTAAGAAGGCCACAAAAAACTGACTTGGTTGTCTTATTTCACATTTTAGAGATTGGTAGACACTCCAGATACTCAAATGTACAGTATGTACACAAATACTGAAAAAGTTCGTTTTCCATGATATGTCGGCTACTGGGGTGCTCTAAGTTTTGATCTTTTGAGCCCTGATTTTCTTTCAAAATGTTCCCGTAATAAGGAATATTCAGACCCAATGAGATTACCCGACATCAGCCAGATAATGGCCTGACCAAATGGACATGGGGCATCAGGAATGACAATGAGTATGTCGTGACAAACACTCGTCTAATCTGATGTAGTGTGTCATAGCGAAAGACAACCGTCGCAGCATCTGGGAAGCCTCATGACATCCAAAAAGGCAAACATGTCAGATTGATTCTTGATTGCTCCATCTCCACTAGTTTCTGTGACATTGATTGACCCAATATGAGCTCAGAGCGCTCCTCTGCACACGGCTGTGTGATGCTGGCAGTGTTGCTAGGTGCGACAGTGTGGTTGGCCCCTGACACCTCCTCACTGATCACCTATATATAGGTCATGAAGGATGGCTATGATCGGTTGGGGGTCCAACATGGGGTCTGCTAGGTCTCTTGGTGAGTCACGGCCAGAATGATCGCCTAATCTGACTCAGTGACCATCTGGCACATATTAGAGAATATAAGAGAAATCTACATGCGTCTTGTGCAGCGTTTCATACAACTTTGGACACATTTCAAGAAAATATGTATAC